TATTCTATTCTATTCTATTCTATTCTATTCTATTCTATTCTATTCTACTCTACTCTACTCTACTCTACTCTACTCTACTCTACTCTACTCTACTCTATTCTATTCTATTCTATTCTATATTATTATTTTGAGACCAGGTCTCTCTATTTAGCCCTGGCTGGCCTGGAACTTGCTGTGTTGACCAAGCTGGCCTCAAAAGTCATCGAGATCCTTTTTCTTTAGCGCTAGGATTAAGGGCAAGTAGCCACACCTGGCCTCACGTTATTTTTTGAAATAAGGTCTCTCACTGAATATTGAGTTCTTTGACCGATAGGTTGGCTGGCCAATGAGCTCTGAAGATTCACCTGACTACCTACCCCAGTGTTGGGGTTACACATCCACCTGGTTTTCAATGTGGGTACCAGGGACTGAGGGATGAGAACTCAGATCCTCATGATTGCATGGCAAGCATTTTACCTACTACGCCATCCTTCCAGCCCTTGAGGACACCTTGTATCTACCCGGGTTAAAGCTGAGGACAGTGCCCTGGGGACAGTGCAGAGAATTGGCAGCGGCCTTGCTGAGGCTCAGATGTGCTTGGTGGCCTTGAAGAGGCCATGCCTCTTAGACCCTCCATCTTCCTTTTCTGTTAGGCACCTCAAAAGTCCTCCGCCCCACCCAGACACAGGTCTACTGTGAGACTGTACTGAGCACAGGCTCTGGCTGGGGGGAGGGGGGGAGCCCTCAGCAAACTAACAGCCATTGGCGTGTTAGAGTTACTGTCACTGGGTCCCTTTCACCCCTACAGACACCTGTGAAGCGGACTGCATGCGGAAGCGTGTGGAGCAGAGCCTGCAGGCCGCCATCAAGACTCTACGCAAGTCCATCGGCCGACACCAGTTCTACGTCCAGATCTCAGGCACTGAGTACGAGGTGGCCCAGCGGCCTGCCAAGGCGCTGGAGGGGGCAGGGATGTGTGGCATAGGCCAAATACTACAGGATGGCAAGTGCGGTGAGTCCAGGCTCGTGGCCTCAGACACTGACTTTATCCTCCTGGCACTGGCAGCCTAGTGAACACACAGGAAACACAGACACGTGTCGGGGACAGAGGGACTGTCCTTCCCAGGATGAGAGCATAGCACTGGCTGTTATCACTGTCATTTAGAGCACACGCCCTCTCTTCTGGTCCTGGACCTGTTGTGTGATCCTCACCATAGCCATGAGAAGAGGGGATGGGGTCAGGACAGCACAGCAAAGTCACAGAAGTGAGGCCTGAGTCCCTGGGAACCAGACTGGGCCCACTCCAATCAGCAGCGTGGTTCAGTGAACCCTCAGGCTGAGGAACTGGGAGGCCGAGCTAAGGCTGAGATGCACAGTCCTGCCCTCCCCACCACTACCACTCCCAGCCCCTGGGGTACCACCCAAGAAGTCAGGAGACCAGGCCCAGCATGCTATAGGAGAGAGGCTGTGGCCTGTGGCCACAGAGAAATCTCATGTCCCCCACGTACACGAGGTGAGCGAGCCTCACAGTGTACTCTCTGTCTCTCTGAGGCTGAGTGAGGAAGGTGGCCGTGGAAGGAAGGCTAAGTGTGGGCTGGACAGGCCCGGAAGCAGGTGCCTCACCATCAGGAGAGAATATCGAGAGAAAGATTTCAAGGGGTGCTCCAAAGGGTGTGGCCACACAAGCCAGGGATGACTCATTGATCTAGGAAGTTGGTGAAGAGGGAGTTTAGGGACATGCACAGACTTCCCAGCCTGCTCCCAAGAAGATGCTGAACAGGCCCCAAGAGCCAACATCAGGAACTCCATATGAAGAACATGATCTACACATGTGCTTGAGCTCCAGGAGTCCAGTGAGGGACTCGGTTATGTCATGTCATTCTCTTACTTTTCACGACTTTTCTGAGAATCATTTCAAGTTTTCAGAAACCTAGTCAGACAGAACAGGAAATTGGTATATTCCAGCTATGAACATATAGTATATGCTCTCTATTCATGCTCTCCTCCCCCTTCTCTCTCTATCTCTCGCTCTCACATCTGTGTGTGTGCCTAAGTCTGTGTGTGTATGTGTCATGTGTCTATATGTGTGTCTCTGTGTATGTGTGTCTGTCTACATCTTTACATCTAAGATGAAAATGCAGTCCATACCAATGCGCCCAACTGAGGAGGACCTCAGGGTCCTCCTCGGCCTCCCTTTACACATGTGCACTGTCTTCTGGCAGTGACAAGCGCGGCTCCCTTTGCCCTCAGCTCCTCTCTTCATGAACGTCTTCGGTGGCTCTCGCCATCACCCTGGCTCTGTGCTGCCCTTCATCTCTGAGCTACTCCACAATAATCTGTCCAACCATTGGACCCTCCTTCCACTGGTCCCCAGGTTCTGTGATGTGTTATGTCCTTGAGTACCAGCTCCCCCAAACAGGCAGGAAATGAAGAAGGGGTTTGGGATGGGAAGTCTAGGTACAGACATCCAGGGGATGGGACTGTTGAATGAAACCAAAAAGTCAGGCAGGGTGTAAGTCCAAGAGACACAGGCGTTTGGACACAGCCAGAGCTCAGCTGCATGGTGAAGGGTTGTGCCGACCAGTCTAAGAAGACGAGGCAGGATCCAACCTACAGGGTCCTCACAGACAGCTGCCACCTGGGTGGTGCTCTCCACTCTTCTGGAGATACGGGCTGTCTCCTATCTGCACGCAGGGGATGGCCCCTGACCGCTGTTTCTCTGCTCTGCCTCTGCAGTACCCTGTGCTCCTGGCTCCTACTTCAGTGGCGAGCCAGGCCAGTGCTTGCCGTGCGTGTCAGGAACCTACCAGGACATGGAAGGCCAGCTCAGCTGCACACCATGCCCCAGCAGCGAAGGGCTGGGCCTGGCTGGTGCCCGAAATGTGTCGGAGTGTGGAGGCGAGTGTGGCCCACCTGGAGGGGGAGGGCTGGATGGGGATCAGTTCCAGACAAGGCCCATCAGCCCCTCATCCGGCTCCCGGAGCAAAAGCGAACTCAGCGTGTAGTCATAAACTGTGACCTTATCTGAAGCTCTTAACTTTCCCAAAGCCGCACAGTTACCACTCACAAGAAAGGCCTTACAGTGAGCACCTACAGTCAGTGACAGACCGAGGTGTGGCTTGTAAAAGAAAACACGAATGCTTAGGTGACACTCTCAGGTCTGGGAGACACTTTGTCCAAGCCAGAAGATTGACTTCAGCCAGAACTCTCTCTACATAAAGAGCTTAATGTGTCATTCGCCCTGTTGGTGGTTGAGAAGCCAGTTTTCCACTTACCAGGGCAGTTGTGTTAGCACAGGGCCCTGCCATTTACTGCCCACTCAGTCCCGTCTGCGACGTGGGCCAGAGTTTCCCATTGGCCTCTCCTGCTCAGCCATACTGAGCTTACCCTAGAGAATACACACCAGTGGCTCAGCCCTGGAGAGGGAAGGTGTCTGAGAGGGTAGACCCCAGGGGGAACGGAGAGCCCCAGGCCTCTTCCATGACACCAGAGAGCCCAGACTCCAACCTGAGCCCCTGTGGCTCCCAGCCACTCCCTTGCTCCTTACTTAGCCTCAGCTAATACTGCTGGTGAGAGATAAGAAATCAGGCTGGCAAGGTTACACAATAAATAACCTCAGCCTCAAGACCCAGAGCCTACTGTCTCCAACCCAAGCCACCCAATTCTTTGTTCCCACCCACCCCAAGGGCACCATTTCCAGGGAGGGCAGGTCCAGGCACAAGACCAAGGCCGACCTCTCCTATATTAGTAGCTGCAGCACCCCTCCCCTACCTGAGCCGTGACTTCTGACTTCCAGGCCAGTGCTCTCCAGGCTACTTCTCAGCAGATGGTTTCAAGCCCTGCCAGGCCTGCCCTGTGGGCACATACCAGCCCGAGCCTGGGCGCACCGGCTGCTTCCCCTGTGGAGGTGGGCTGCTCACCAAGCACACGGGTACCGCCTCTTTCCAGGACTGTGAGGCCAAAGGTGAGAAGCCGGCTACTCGGGGGACACATTCCCTGACACACTTTCTCCTTTGCAAGGCCAGCCCTTTGCAAAGTCAGAGGAGGGGTGTGGAGACTCCAGCTGGGGGCATGGGTGACCAGTATCATGTCACACACCGGAAAGAGATAGCAGCTAGACCGGGAGTGTCAAAAGGGATACCAGCATCTCAAGGGAGTAGGTGGGCTGCTGAAGGAGTAGGTGGAGAAGGAGAGGAAGATGACAGGAAGAGAGGATGCTGGGAGGAAAACAGAGGACCAAGCTGGCAGTGGCAGAGGGGCACCACCAGAACAGCAATATCAGTCACCCTCCAGGCTTCCCCTCTCCTCGGTGCCCAGACCATCCCCTCCTCACCCACTGACCCTCCCCCTCTCCCTCCCCTGCCCTGCTGGCCCTCTGTGACCCTGTGCTGCCACTCAAGGCCAGGTGGCAGGGACCCTCCGCGCCACAGAGCCCGCCTCGGGCAGAGGGCCCCCTGACACACAGACTGCCTGTGTCATCTCCCGCTCGGTTCCAGGAGGAGAGTTCTGCAGTCCCTCCTTAGTTCCATTGCCCACTGACTTTGTAGACGTGTCTGGTGTGGCTCTCCGCCTCCCCTCCCTTCCTGCCCTCACCCCATCCAGCCATACTATCACACACACCCCACTGCACCCCTCAGGTAAGTTTGGTCCCTACATGGTTGCTGCCTGGCTGGAGCGCCGCACACGTCCTCAGTGTGAAAAGCACAGCCCCAGAAAGCTCTTCCTCCCCTCACCATGAGGTCTACAGCTTGGGCTCACTCACCCCGTGATGATGAGATAAATCAGAGAGGTCTTTCGGTGTGGAGGGCCTTGAGCGCACAGGGGCTCCCCTGCCCTTGCCCGTCAGCACCCCACCTTACATGTCTCCCACAGTGCACTGCTCTCCCGGCCACCACTACAATACCACCACCCACCGGTGCATCCGCTGTCCTGTGGGCACCTATCAACCCGAATTTGGCCAGAACCATTGCATCACCTGTCCAGGCAACACCAGCACTGATTTTGATGGTTCCACCAACGTCACACACTGCAAAAGTAAGTGCCACTCTTACCAGGAGGGAAGCTGGGAATGCTAGGCAATGGGGAGGGAGCAAGTGAGACCTGAGATCACATTCTGAGAGGAGACCACTGGCCCCTGGCAGGGTGGGGCAGCCCATGCTCTGCTCACTGTACGATAAATATAAATGCACCATAGTTCATCATGATTGCCCATACATGCTCCACACTCCGTGAGCCTTAGCCCAGGCCAGACTCTGCTCTAGTTTCTGGGGACCCAGAGAAAGAAACAGGGCTCTGCACCTGCGGGTGGCAGGCTGCAAGGTGGCTACCAAGTGCCTGTCTTCCACTAGATAAGGCACGCACTGCCTAAGCCATCACCTGGTACCACACAAATGCCAGAAAGCAACAGCATACAGGGAGCTGAGCATGGACCATTGTGGAAGGGCTGGAGGAGGACCCGATAGGCCTGTAGGTATCTGAGACACTTGGGTTCAAAAAGAAAACATGGTACAGACATATTTTTCCTCACGAGCTGCCAGCTCTAAGCACAGCAGTCTTCAGGTATAAAAAAAAAAAAAAAAACCACTACATTAGGGCTTTGACTCAATTACTGAGAGTTTTTGTCTCTGTTGTTTGTTTTCTTTTGTTGTTGGTGGTTTGAGAGTCTCTCTGGCAGGGTCTTTCGGTGTAGCCCCGCCTGTCCTAGAACTAAGTATGGAGACCAGGCTGGTCTTGAACTCACAAATATCCACCTGCCTCTGCTTCCGGAGTGCTGAGATTAAAGGTATGTGCCATCATGCCTGGCTATTTCTCAGAATTTCTAGTTTTCACACTTCTCAGAAAAGTTTTTAGTTCCTCCCCTGGCTGCTGGTCACATCCGGAGCCTCCTGGAAGCCTTTAAAGGTTGACAGTTTGGTCAGTCCTTTGCCCAGGACTGTCCCCAACCTTGCGATGCACCCACCATGGGGGCAGCATCTGTCCAACACAGAGGAGGCACCCCCAGACACATTATTTTAAAGATTAATTACATATTACATTAAACTAAAAAATGAACTACAAATACATATGTTTTAATGAGTAAAACTAGGGGAAGCCGGATGGGAGAGAAGATTCTAGAATATTAGAAGCAGAGCTGTTTCTCAGAAATGTGTTTACTTTAGATAGAGTCTCACTGTATAGACCTGGCTGACCTAGAACTCAGAGAGATCCACCTGCCTCTGCCTCCTCAGTGCTTGATTTAAAGGGGTGAGGTGCCACCATGCCCAGATCTCAGAAACCTGGGAGTAAAAAATGGACAGGAAATTTGCCAACACTTACTATGTATACCCAGTTCCCTTTGCAGAACTAAAATAGTGAGTTTAAAACGAGGCATCAGCCAGGCGGTAGTGGTGCATACCTTTAATCCCAGCACTCAGGAGGGAGACTTCTGGGAAGGCTGGGGCCATTCTTGTCTTCGGTGTGGCCCGCCTGTTTTTTTCTGCACATTTATCTTTATGCTGCCCCGCCTCTGGTAGGAAAGCCGACTGTGCCCAGTTGCCTGGAGGGATTCAGTGGGGCCAAGGAGTAAAAGCAAGGGATGCAAGGTGAGGCTCCATTTGACCTCCACACCTGAGACACAGCTCGGATGTGAGGCTGGCTGGGAGCAGACACATACCCTACAGAACACTCAGGGTGATAAAGGCCAAGACACAGAGACACAGTGGCCTGTGCCAGCTGAGAGAGGCCCATAGGAAGGAAAAGCCTGGGCCGGGTGTCAGGAAACTCAGTGGTATCAGCTGAGGACCTGCCGTCTGGTTGCATGACAGCAGTCCAGGCAGGACCCTCCGTGAGTCGGCACAGGCTCGGCTAGCTGGCCTTGCCCTGTACCTCTAATGGCTCTGAGGGCTAGCACCCCCATGCAGCCAGCCTGACAAGTCACCCTGACCGTGGTACCCACAGACCAGCACTGTGGTGGCGAGCTTGGGGACTACACGGGCTATATCGAGTCCCCCAACTACCCGGGCGACTACCCAGCCAATGCGGAGTGTGTGTGGCACATCGCGCCTCCCCCCAAGCGCAGGATCCTCATTGTGGTCCCCGAGATCTTCCTACCCATCGAGGATGAGTGTGGCGATGTCCTGGTCATGAGGAAGAGCGGTAAGTTCTGGCTTGGGAGGCTAGGACAGTAAGACCAGATAGCTCAGGGGCCTGTATTCTTCTCGAGATGGGCTCAGCTCCATCTGGTGGAAGGAAGGTCTCAGCGAGCCTTCAAGGACTTCAAGGACTTCAAGGTGGCTTCAAGGACCCCATGCGTTAGGTAGGATAGAAGCCCACCTGAGCCAGGCCTAAGGACTGGACCATACGGAACTCTAGGGAAAGGTCATGGGGGCTTAGCGGTACCTTGAGATGGGAATCTGGATCTAGTCAATTCTGGCCTCAACCTCTCAGCTAGTCTCTTCCAGTTGTCCAGCCAGCTGCTGTGACCCCTCCCCCACTTCATGCCACCATACCTCAGATGAGACCTTCCTATTCTACAGGAAGCTCCCTCCTCTCCTATAGGCCTCTGACCTCCCTCAGAGGTTTGGAGGAACTGAGAGCCATTCAGACACACACAGAGAAGCCTGGGCTAGCCCTTCCTGGAGCCCCAGCTCCTGTCAGGTGAAGGAAGGATGGGGGCCAATCTTTAGCAGGGGTGGATGAAAGTGTAAGCCACTGTGGCTCTCCCTTTTTCCGGGGGGTCATTGGCCTCTGGTCCCCAAGGACAAGGAAGCAGAAGCTACAAACTGGAGATTCCAATCGCCTGTGAGTACCCGGGATCAGCTCCTCCAGGATGAGCTCCAGAGAGACTGCTCACCTGTATCTGGGGTGAACAAGGGTTAAATAGTTCTTGGGGAGTGGCTGGAGGGCTCCTAGGATGGGTGGACACTATTGGGTGGGGCTAGGAGTACCAAGTATGCTTTATTTGCATTTGGCAGTGTGGTCCAGTCCTATGATCAGGAACACAGTCCCTAACCGCCCTATAGGTGCAGGGGAGAAAGTGCTAGCAGGGAACTGTGCCAAAGGTCATATTCCAGATATGGTGAGATAGGGCTGCATCTAGGGGTACTCTCCAGATGAGGTCAGGCTGAGAATAGAAGGCCCTACTGGGTGGAGGGGAGGGGAGGAGTCCTCCACCGAGTTCAGAGAGGCTTTCCGGACATGGAGGACTGTAACCTCAAACAACAGGCTCCTCCAACAGGCCAAACACAGTGAGAAAGCCCAGGAAGTAACCAAATGCCCTGCAGGGACCTGGCTCTACCCTCAGAACCCTGACCAGAGACTTTGCTGTCATCGGGTGTTAACCATAAGGAATGTACTGTGAGTCAGAGTATTAAGAGAGAAGGCCAGAGACCCAGACAGGCACAAAACTACACCTTTGGTCAGGAGCTAGACCATCTGCGGGTAGAAAGACAGGTGGAGGGACCTGCTCTGCTACAGGTCCTACATGGCTTTGTTGCCTCATGTATATCCTCGTGTTGGTTGGCTAATGGGCCAGGAAGCCACAGTGTACAAATGGGGTTGTAGCCAAAAGGAGTGAGGGGCCTGCCCAGCCTGTCAGAGCCTAGCCTGGAACCCCCTCCTCCATCCATTCCCAGCACTAGCCCTCTGAGTACCCACAGGCAAATCTCCTTTCAGCACCAGGGAGGCAGCTCAGAGTTGTCCCTCAGCCCCAGGAGAGAGGACTTTTTAAACCTGAGTTTCGGGTGGCCTTGGTCCACGCTGGCTCATCTCCTGCTTAAGCCATCTCCTCTCCCTGTCATGGAAGAGCCACCAGGGAGGCTGTGAGGGGGCAGTTCAAAAGAGCAACAGGAACGTGGCTGGGGCAAGGAGAAGAGGAGCTGGGTGTTCTGACCTCGGAGGCTGATGAGGTGGGGGAGGGGAGTGGCCTGAGGCAGTGAGCTGTGAGCCTGTAAGCTGCAAAGGCCTGCGTCCCTACAGCCTCACCCACATCAGTCACCACCTACGAGACATGCCAGACCTACGAGCGGCCCATCGCCTTTACCTCCCGCTCCCGCAAGCTCTGGATCCAGTTCAAATCCAACGAAGCCAACAGCGGCAAAGGGTTTCAAGTGCCCTACGTCACCTATGACGGTAAGGCACCACCACCTTGTCACAGTCTGCTCTTGTGCCAGATGAAGCCTGGCCCGGGGACTCAGAAGTGAGCTGTGCACGGCAGGGCACGAACACAGAGACAGAACTGAGGGCTAGACAATGTGGAAACCCAAGGGCTGTGGGGTGGGGGGCGGGGTAGAGGTACAGTCTAGAGGAGGGACCATCGGTGCTGTCTGTGGGCTTCAGGGAAGGTCCCGCCCAGCCAGGGTTTGCAGGGTTAAATAGGGGGCAGCTAAGGAGAGACAAAGCAGGTGCAGGGGACCCTAGAAGCAAAGGCTAAGAGACAGAGCTACATCCAGCCGCCGCCAGCTGCCCAAGGCGGATCTGGGGAGCTGGGGAGGGCAGAGGAGGGAGGTGTGGTCTCAAGCCCCCTCCACCTTCCCTCTCCCTGCTGGCCGGCTGGCTCCTAGAGGACTACCAGCAGCTCATAGAAGACATCGTGCGCGACGGGCGCTTGTACGCCTCAGAGAATCATCAGGAAATTTTGAAAGTGAGTTTTGGGGTTTTTGTTTTTGTTTTTTTTTTTAAGGGAAGATAAAATCTGGAAGAATGGTCAGGGGGGCGGCCATCCCTGCCCTTGTCCTGACTCCTGACCCCTGGAAGAGGGATGGGAGGAGGGTGTTGTGTCAAGGGTCCTGACATAGGACGCCAGGGGGCGCTAGGGTGCGGTGATGGTTTAACAGGTTGACCAGCTGTCCTCAAGCTCTGGTTCCTCCTGGAGCTGCCATTTATTTCAGGCAGACACCAGGCCCCCTGCCCGCACCCTGTCCCACAGTTGTCTCCATGTCTTGCAGGACAAGAAGCTGATCAAGGCCCTCTTCGATGTGCTGGCACACCCACAAAACTACTTCAAATACACAGCCCAGGAATCCAAGGAGATGTTCCCTCGGTCCTTTATCAAACTGCTGCGTTCCAAAGTGTCTCGATTCCTGCGGCCCTACAAATAACCATCCAGCTGTCCTGCTTGGGGATAGTGGGAACCAGGAGGGAGGGGAGCGTGCCCTCCCTCCACAGCGGGAGCTGAAAGGGGGCTTCATGGGCTTCCAGGCTGCCTTGGGAAACCCTTGACACCTGCCTCTGGCAAAACCATCCAGCCTGTACCAACCCCATGAAAGGCCTAGACCCAGCCCAGAGCCCTTGGTGGGTCTTCCACCCCCGTGTGGAAACAAACAACGCCTCACAAAGCCTCCACCCACCCTTTGCCTCTATTTCCCAGGACACTTAGAGTCTCCCCTCCTGAACCACCCCCACGAGGCCTACCTGGGCCAGGACACACCATACCACCATATGGGGAACAGGACCACTGTGCCCTTGGCCTGATGTATTGGGAGAGAGGAGTGTGGCCAGCGCCCTGCAGGCTCTCGAAAGCATGGGCCACTGTCACCCACACAGGGCCAGGCCAGGGCAGGAAGGCTGTGTGGAGGTGCCATCTGGAGGGCAGATAAGCCTGTGCCAGTGCCTGTGGAACCACCACACCCTGCCCCTCCAGCCACGGGCACGCACGGGACACCAAGCCAGGTCATGGAGCTCAAGGGACTCTGTGAGAGATGGAACAGGACCTCCAGGAGAGGAATCCATGGGCTTGTGCTTTGCCTTAATAGAACATCTAAAGAAGTTCTATATACGTATATAAATATTAAATATTATCTACTTGTCTGTGTGGGGTGGGTACCTTAGGAGGGTTCTCTTCAGCAGCTGTAATACTAACCACTGTTGCCAGCCTTCCCCAGTGATTAGACTACACCACCACCCCCCAGCGCTTGCCACCCCTGTTGGGGGGAGGCCAAGCAGCCCCTCCCCCCAGCCCGGCGAGCACACAGACATGCTTGAACATGCTGTCGAATGTGTCTTGATGGGGACCAGACTAGGTGGTCTGGTAAAGCACTGACTGGGGATGGGGGGGGGGATTCACAAGTGGCATCACCGTCCTGGACAGAACACCGTGGAAAGCAGCCCTCTCCCCATGGGTGCTGGCACTCACTGACTCTGAACTGTGCCTACAGGTCACCAGAAACAAGGCCTTCCTCAGGGATGTGCAGGCTGTGTTCAGAGAGCAGCTCCCACTCTTTACTGCAACGGGAGGAGAAAGCAAGGCCCCGGGAGAGGAGGCTTCCAAGGCAGAGGCTTTCGGGAGCCTCCCCAGTGCTTCTCAGTCTCTTAAAAGAGAGGAGCCCTTGTGTGGCCATGCTGCATGGCATCCCACGGGCTGGGGAGTCACCCCCTCACACACAGGGAGAGACCTTGCCTGAGCCTCAGATCGCTTGCTCCCAGAGACACACAGAAACCGGTCTGTATTTTTCATATTAGCGGCTATTAGAACTTGGAGGAACGTGGGGGAAATCTCAAAATGAATTCTAAGGTTTCCTGGTCCCCCTCCTAACTGATGACGGAAGGGAGCTGTTTCATAAAAACACACGTGGCTCTTTGAAGACTGTTGAAGACGAGTGGGTAGTCGAGCCGGGCCTGGAAAAACCACAGCTTGATGACCGGGCACAATACATCTGAACGCGGGCTTGGAACTCAGGGACAAGCTACTGCCACCACATGGGTCCACAAAGCAGAAGGGCCCGCCAGTGGCCATCTCTCTCTCTCTCATGGAGAGTGGCAGGTGGACTTCCTGTACTTGGTCACGGTTGGGGCCTACTGCCTTTCTGCAGTTTACAAACCCTGCGGCTCAGCCGTACCGGAGAGAAGCTCCCTCGTCCTTCTGTTGGGGCCACGAGCCATCCTCAGAGAGACCAAAGTCCCCCAGAATGAACCTGGCAACACTTAACTCCTCCAGGAAGCGAAACAAACAAGGGCACATTGGAGACACGCTAGGAGGGAGTTATGAGAATCAGCCCAGAAAATTACCATGACCGAGAAGTTCTACAAGGCGTCGTCTGCAAGCTGGAGAAGCAGGGAAACTGGCAGCATTTGAAGCAGAGACTCTGGGCGTGGGTATGGCCCGTCTGAAGGCCTGAGCCAGGAGCGCTGCGTTGGTTGGTTGTCCCAGGCCCAGGAGTGAATTTGCCCTCACGCCAACAATACTTCCCACTTACTGAATGATGCCACCAACTTAGGCGAGGTTAGAGCTCTTCTCTAGCTCCTGATCCATATGCTCATAAATCTCTTCAGGGGGACACCACTGCCACTGTCCTGCCACACCACAGGAAGTATTTGGGGGCTCAGACCCACCCAGTTAAATTGACAGCTCTGGTTAACCAGCCCACTTAAGGGCTTCAGAAAGAGTTCTCGGGTCCTGCCTACAACTCCTGAGTGGCTTCCAGCAGTTGTCACCCGTGTGCCCATTCTCACACCCAACTACGTCCTCTCTCCGGAATGCCCATCCCTACTGTGGCCACATCATGCCCAGTGTCCCCTGGATAGAAGCAGGTGCAATTCAGGCCAGGGCCCTCAGTGTCACGGTCAAGTCCTTTTGTAGCTTATATGTATTCCCCCTCCCCGAAAGCCTGGGCACCTGGCAGAGGCTGAGGGGGCCTGTGTCCCTCCAGCTTCCTTTGTGCTCTGTCCTGCTCCTGGTAGGCAACCTGAAGACATCTATAGAGGAAAACCAAGCTGTCCCCAGGTTTTTAGAAGATGGTCATCATAAGTGATACCTCAGCAGAGCACCCAGAAAGCCTTCCTGACTTGTGTTCCTGGCACCTCCTGGCACTTATCTTGGAAGCACCCGCACAAGGAAGCAGAACAACTTGCCCCAAGGGTCAGTGGTCAGCACAGCCCTCCACTTGTGGGTGGCAACAGTGGGCCGTGGCACCTGCCACTCCGAATGGGCCTTTTAATTGTCCTGGTCACTCGTACTGGTTACAGAGCCTTGCGGCTGTGCCCACACCAGCCTTCTCACCCTGGTTCCGTCTCCAACTCTCAGGCAGCACAATCAGCAGGTATCAGTGGTCCCCAACTCCTGGCACAGTGGCTACCGGTGGTGACCACTTTCCCAAACTCTGGCTCCCCAAGACAGTCTTTCCTAGCTCCTTCTCTGCTTTGAGTGGTCACGATCCTCAGGTGCGCAGCCAAAGGTGGACACCTTGACCACCTTTCCCTCCCTGTCTCTTAATTTGGAACAGACAGATGAAATGGAACCAAACTATAGCCCTAAAGGTCCTGGTTCAAAAGCTTTATCAGGGAGCCTGCTCACCCCCCTATGGCTTCTACAGAAGGAGGCCCTGGCTGGTCAGGCTTGGGTGGGCCCTACCCTGACGTGTGGAAACTGAGCGTCTTACCCGGCCCCTTCTCACCCCGTCCCTCAGCAAAAAAATAAGGACCTACAATGAGTTGGGTCATTCCGCAAACATTTACTGAGGACCTGCTGTGTGCCAGACTCCTAGAAGACTGACTAAGGAACAACGCGGACACAACAACCTATCCGGGACAGCAGCCTTGCTCCATCCCTACCAATCCACTACCTGACCCAGAGCACAGGAGGACCAGGGCTTTCTCCTCGCCCTTGGGCAAGCCTGGAAAGTCAGACTGACCTGGCAAACACTGTACAGCTTTACTTCACCAAAGATGCACAGAGGGGTAGCTCAGCCCTTCTGCTCAACAAGCAGGCAGTGCCCCGCTGATGCCATTCAGACTGACGGCTGAAGGACTTGGGAGCGAAAGCACAGCAACAGCACAAAAAGCTCCTCTCTGGGGCAGGACAGAGCTGGGTCTCGCCCTACTTAACCTGTCAAAACTTTTGTCAAGGTGCCAGGTGGAGGACTCCTCAGAGCCCAGGTGGTGTGACATAGCCTGTGCTCTCCTCCAGCACCCTGTTTAGACAGCTCCCAACAGTGGGCTTTTTGCTGGCTGTGATCTCACCAGCTTGCACCCAGCCATACCAGTTGGCAAAGGCCTTGGTTGGACGCTCTGAAAGTCTGCATTCCCATGACTCAACAGGGAGCAACAAAGATGGGGGGCGGGGGTGTCATAGTCCTTCAGTCTCATGCCAAGCACTAAGGTAAACCCTTTCTGCCAAGCCCCCCCCCCCAGCCCTGTGACATGGGTGAGACTGAACCCATGGTTCAGGCCTTGACTCTGAGACCAAGTAATATGCCCAAAAGGAGTGAGACACTAGAAGCATTAGTGATGACCTTGGTGACATCCCACCCTTTCTAACACACACTCAGAGCAAGGATGAACTCGGCATCCCTTGGGTGGGAACCAGGGTCCTCACCATCCAGACATGAACTGTCACCAACACCCACCATACCTGTGTAGACCCTCAGCCCTGCACATGAGGGAGACGCCCCAGTGCCTGCCAGCACAAACAGGGAAGCAGAGGGCGGATTTGTCAGAAAATACAAGCTTTTCCAAGGTCAGAGCCAGGAGCACCCAGAAGCCATCCACACTGCTCAAGAGATGGCGGCACTCCTGCACCCCCCCCTTCGCCCTGGCCCCTGCCCTGGCCCCCACACATATGCAGTCTGTCCAGACACTGGGTGGCAGTCCTAATGCACAGTGACCAATATCCCCATTACCACATTTGCCTTCCAGCTGCCTCAGTATTGAAAGCTTTTCTCTACCACCTTTTCCCCCTATGCATGTAATTAAACACTTGTGGAAATCACTTTAATAATAAACAGGAACTGAGCCTAAGTGTTGTTTCATTTCTCATTTTCTTTAAAGATGTGTTTGTTTATTTTATGTATGAGTGCTCTATCTGCATGTACACCTGCAGGCCAGAAGAGGGCAACAGATCCCCATATAGATGGTTGTGAGCCCACATGTGGTTGCTGGGAATTGAACTCAGGACCTCTGGAAGAGCAGCCAGTGCTCTTAACCACTGAGCCATCTCTCCAGCTCTTCCCCCCCCTCCCATTTTTTCATTTTCTTTAGAGGATTTGGAAAAAATTACTGGAATCCATAAAAGAAAGAAAGAGAACAAGAGAAGAGAGAGAAAGGAGGGCCATGAACTTTTGAGGCTCCTGCCTTCAGACTCTGCTCCAAAAACAAGTTCCAGGAAAATAAGTTTCTGGTGTTGTGATGGGAAATATTTCTTAATTGTTTTTTGGGGAAGATTTTAGTTTATTTTAATTACATACTGGCATGTGTGTGTGTGTGTGTACGTAACTGAACTCAGGTCCTCTGCAAGAGCAGGACTACTCATTGAGTTATCCATTCAACCAGAAAGGTTTTTTTTTGTTTTGTTTTGTTTTGTTTTTTTAATGCTTTGAACTTTTTATACCTGTATATCAGCAGTTCTCAACCTCTGGGTTATGAACCCTTTGGGGGTCCCCTATCAGATATTTAAGTTACGATTCATGACAGCAGCAAAATTATAGTTATGATGGAGCAATAAAATAATTTTACGGTTGGAGGTCAGTAGAGCACGAGGAACCGTATCACAGAGTCTCAGCATTAGGAAGGTTGAGAACCGCTGCTGTACAGAACATACATATCCATGTATGTATGACATATGTGTGAGCATCTTACCCAGCCCCTATCCATGTCCTGTGTGCGCAACAGCCAGGCTTGTGTGTACCACAGCCACGGCACACCCAGAAGACATAACCTCACAGCTGCCCTCCCCATCCTCTGGCTCTTCCATTCTTTCCACTCCCACTTCCTCAGGTGCTTCCTGAACCTTGGTGGTGGGGGAGGGGTGTGCAGAGATGTCCCATCTCTGGCTGAGCATTCAGCAGCCACTCCCGCTCAGCATGGGCCGTTCCGAGTCCCGGTGCTAACTGCAGAAAGGGTAAACACACACATCCAGAATGTGGTCTGATGGTGAGCTACACAGGAAGGCCTGACGAGGGAAAAGAGAAAGGGGCTGGGAGATGGCTCAGGGCCCGACAGGAATGAGGTCCCGTCGCGCTTGAGTGAAGGCTGCCTGGAATCCCAGCGCTCAGGATGTGGTGACACGGGGAGACACAGGGACCCCTGTAGTAGGCAACTAGCTGAATCAGCAGGCACCGGGTCAAAGTGCATGTGCACCCACATACATATGGGCAAACACACACCATCATATACATATGCAAATTACATATACAGAGTATATGCATGCATAATATGTACATACATACATGTATACAAAGTACATCCATACATACATAATAAGGAACTAGGAAAACAAAAGTCTCATAACTTAACTTTTTTTTTCAAATCTCAAAAGTAAACAGTAGGTAATTCAATGAAACAAACATACAATCCTGTCTGATAAGAGGATTTATTTTTCCCCAGACAGGGTTTCTCTGTGTAGCCCTGGTGTCCTTGTTCTGTAGGCCAGAGAGGCCTCGAACTCAGAGATAATGCCTGCCTCTGCCTCCTGAGTGCTGAGATTAATGGTGTGTGCACCTGGCTGGACTTTTGTTTTGTTTTGTTAGTTTAAGTGCATGGAAATGTTATGGCTTCTCCTGCCCGCAGACTGCTGTCTCTCTGCTCTCTGGATGAGATGTGGGTGGAATCCTCCTGCGCTGGGCTCTGTGGTGCGTGAGAAGCCCCTTCCCTACTGCACCTCAGCGCCACGGCTCGCAGCACATATGACTTCTTCAGGGACCGAAAACCATGGTTCTGAGTTTCTGATGTTCACGATGCAAGAGCCTTTTTAGCGCCCACCCCCTTCTCTCAGGAGGCGACACATGAACTGAGCCTGAGAAGTGATGAGAAGCAGGCAGGGGTGGTGGACAGGAGCCCTCCGTAGAGAGCAGCAGCAGGATCAGTGTCTGCAGCCAAAGGCCAGTTGGGGAGGGCTGAGCGCTGAAGGCGCAGAGTGACCAGGAAGCTGGAGAGGGCACAGGGCAAGAGCTTGCAAAGCAGGGGAGGTCATGTGCGGCCATGACAGGCCTCCTCTGTCAGAAAAGTGAGGCCAGCTCAACCTCAACAGGCTGAGGCTGCCTTACTAGGATAGTGAGGGGCCCTCCTGACCTTTCCGAGGGATGAAAGCTGAGCACAGAAGAGATTAAAGTGAAACCACCAAAACAACCACTCTATGGGGAGCAGAATGTTTTTATTGTAGACGTGAGAGAAAGTCCAGCCGGAGGCATCTTAGAAGGGTCCAGAGTAGCCAATGGCTACCTCTGGGGGAGGGGTGGAGGGAGGAGAGTAGACTGGCCACAGCCGCAGAGAGGAAAAAGTGTGGCTGTGAAAGCCCATGAGCTGGAAGCTAGAACAGCATGGGAACCAGCCCAGTGGGGAAATGAGAAGGTCCAGGAGGCTACTGTGAGAGGACTGATACCCTTAAGAGATCCGTGTTAGGAGAGGCCAGAGGAGCCTTGGAAGTCAGCATGGGCTTTGATAGATAAGCAGAGATATATGTCGATAGAGAGCCAAAGGCAAGGGACGATAATGCAAGTGGATCCTTTCGGCAGGAATTCTGAGGAATACTACCAACAATCCTTTGATAGTCACTGCCTTTCGGGGTTTGGGACCTAACAAAGTACGTTTAGAGGGGCTAGAAAATGCGCACACACACGCGCGCGCGCACACACACACACACACACAGCTACCAGGAAGCTAGAGCTATTTTTGTGGTTTGACTGGGAGCAGTTTAGGTTTTTTGATACCCAGGCATATTGTTTCTCTAGGTGGAGCAGAATTATCAAGCTAGGGTGATTCTTTATGGTTAGGGGTTATTGCCTAATACAGCCTGACCCAATTCCTCATGACCTGAGGCCATTACCCAACATCCATCACCCTCCACGTGAGTTCCCACCGTGGTATTCTGTGGCAACACATGAATCGCTGTAAATAGGAACCAAATTAAATAAGGTTTGGCTTGGACCTTCTATGACATGCTTAGGTCCAAATTTTGTTCTCACCTTTACTTTTCCATTTGGCCAACCATAGATTAAAATTATATATATATTAGCAGCCTAATAAGCGCAGCAATTAATTATGAGTCAATTGGGCACAAACCACACTTGTAAGATAACAAACTAAGATGGCATGGCCACATTGGTTGAAGAACCTCCCTGTATGTGGTAGATCTTGGGCAGACTTTACTGTTGCTTAGAGTTTTAAAAGAAATCTTTCACACATTATATTCTTTGTCTCACAAATATATGGGCGTTTCAGTGCTACACTGTAGCAAGAACTGGCCAAGGTAACAAAATTTCCAATGACCTTGGACAGCAAACCTCATACAAAGCAGATAGGAGAGAAATACAGAGACAAAAAGATATGTATATGATACAAAAGGCATTGCCTCCCTGAAGAGGAGAGCACCTGGGCCTACCTTATTTTGTTCAGAGACACAAGGACAGTAGACTTGCGGAACATGGCCCAGGGGACAGTTATCAGGAATGGCACCTCCTTTCTCAGAGATCTGACAGGACAGAACAAAACAGGAAGGAGCTTTTAGAGTAGAGGCCAATCAAGCCATTGTAACAAGACTCCCCAGGCTCGTTACAATGATAGAAGTACCTTTCAATCCATAAAACTCATCACTAGACATCACTACCTGCCAAACCAAACCAAAAACAAAACTATACACACACACACACACACACACACACTGTCAAAGTTCATAGTTCTGGGAAAGGCTCCTAACATACTAACCTTGCATTTTGGCCTCTGTAGTTCTTCATCTGGCTACCTGTTCTTGCTAACTGAAGTTATGTCAACCCAGGATATGGTTTTTGTGCTTAAAAGCTCACCCTGAGAAAGGCCTGAGGCTGCACTGTGATCCCACCCACCAAGTCACGAATACAGACTTTCTATTGGTTTAAACCTGTGTGCCGGTAGTCTTCTCTGGGTGAGCCTCCCACAACACCATAATCTGGGAATAAGAACAGACTAGAACAGGAAGTGTTTAAAAATCATAGTCCAATCCTGGTGGTGGTGATACACACCGTTAACCCCAGCACTCAGGAGGCAGAGGCAGGTAGATCTCTGAGTTCAAGGCCAGCCTGGTCCACAGAGCAAGTTCCCAGACAGCCAGAGCTACAGAGAGAAACCCTGTCTCAAAAAAAAAAAAAAAATCCATAAACAAGCAAACAAACAAATAAATACCATAGTCCAGTGGGGTGTAGTGGCTCACAACTTTAATCTCAACACTCGGGAGGCAGAGACAAATGAGTCTCTGTGAGTTCCAGGCCAACCTGTTCCACATAGTGAGTTTCAAGATGGCTAGAGCTATATACCTTTCAGGAAGAAAAAAAAAAAAAAAAAGTTCAAACAAGCCTTAAGCCAGAATCAAGCCTGAATGCAAATCGATTCAATTTGCTAAGTAAAACTGAGGGAGGGTTCTCCAGGAACCAGAAAGAGGCAGCTGCTGGTTTCCAGCCCAGAATGGTTCCCCCCAACTCCGGAGGGGGCCAGACCGACAACATTAGGCAATGTAACTGTAGCGCCAGAGTTTGTAATACCTGCCATTCAGAAGCAGTCACCAGGGACATGGACTGAATCTTCTAAATCATGCTTTATTTAGAGAGCCAGCAATCAGAGAAGGCACCAGATTAACACCTTAAAGGGAGCTGAGGGCTGGAGAGGTGGCTCAATGGTTAAGGGTTCTAACCGCTCTTGCAGAGGACTGGGGTTCAGTTCCCAACACCCACATCATGATTCACAAATATCCATAACTCCAGTTCCAGGCGATCTGACACCTGGAACTTCTCCTAACCTCCACTGCTGTGAGATAATTCCACCAGAGAACACACACAGAGACACTCTGTGCAGCTCTGGCAATCCTGGACTCAGTTTGTAGACCAGGCTGGTTTCAAACTCACATATCTGCCTGCTTCTGCTTCTGCCTCCTGAGTGCTGGGATCAAAGGTGTGCACCACCATGCCTGGTGTCACAGACACTCTTAAAGCTAAACAGAAAGTCTGTTTTCTCTCTTATGCACAAAACCCACATCCTAGTCAACATACTTCAATTAGCAAGAAGCCAGAAAACTAGGTTAGAGCATTTAGGGATTTTCCTGGATCCTGGAACTATGCATCAAGTGTTTGATGGATTAAGTCTTTGTTCCCTTTGGGCAGATGTTGATGCCCACCAGGCTGGGTTTTAAGGTCAGAATGGTGCCTCAAACATGGTGTCAGTTGTGCTAAGGTCTGGGGCACCAGGCACACACAGGGTACACATACACACATTCAGTCAAAATACTCATACGCATAAAATAAATCTATTGAAAAAGTTTTAAACTACCTTTTCTCTCATCTCCATCTAGCAAATTATATGTGAACAAGACAAACACAGTCATTGATTGATTGTTGGGGGTCATGTGGGTATGTGAGTCTATGCTCCCTGTGCACGTAGAGGCTGGAAGGCACTGAGCATCCTCACTGCCTGAGCCCATTGGCTAAGTCTAACAGTACCTGAGTGGGGAGTGAGGATTAAAATAAATAACACGAGTCACATGGGATCAGCTCGAGAGGACCGTCAGTAAACACTCCAGCCGCAAGTTTATTCCACAATTTCTTTTTATAGGCAAAGCAAAACCAAGTCACATCAATACAAGAAAGAAGTTCATGGACCTGCCAAACTTGTTTCTTAAACCACTTCCCTGTAGCAGATAGAGTCCAAGATCACACAAACAAGTTTTAAGAAACTTAGTGAAACATCCTCTGTCTCAAGGTGAAGGCCAGGGTGAAAACATGTTTTTCTCTGAATACTCAGTAACAAAGCAGCTTCCAAGCAGCTCTCCACACCTGACCTGCCATCATCTGCTTACTCCTTTGAGGCAGTCTTCCTCTGAACCTAGGGCTCCTATTTTCCTGGCTAGTGTGAAGCCAGAAACGGGGAGCTGAGAGTGGGGTGGGGATGGCTCAGGACTCTAATCCCAACACTCGGGAGGCAGACATGCAGATCTCTGCACTTGTGGAATAACCTTTTGATGGCACATCAAGTTATCATACCAAGATATCAAAACCTCTGAATTCAGTGAGGCATTCCAAACAGTGAGAAGACTCGTCCGTGTTAGAGGTACCATTCTGACCCACCCATGGAAGGGTCTGTAAGCCTTCAAGATATGGCTGGATCCCCACATACTGGCACCTCCCAAAGCTTGGGAGGAGGATCGAGGGCTCAAGGCAAGCCCCTGATACGAAGTGAGTTTGTCGGTCAGGTCAGTCTGAGCTGAGTGAGACCCTGTGGCAAAATGATCATGGTGGTGATGATAACCAAGCCCTGGGAGATGGCTCAGTGGTAAAGCATTTGCCATGCAATATTGATTACTTGAATTTCATCTCTGGGACCCACCTGAAAGTGGAAAGAGAAGACTCCACAACGTTCTGTTCTTTTATCTCCGCAAGTGCACTGTGACACACACACCACACACCACACACTCACACACTCACACACACTCCCAAACAAACAAACAAACAAACAGATAAAACTGGAAAAATGGTTTAGTAGTTAACTGCTCCTGCAGAAGATCTGGGTTCGGATCCCAGCACCCCATGTGTTATTCCATTTCCAAGGGACCTGATGCCCTCTTCTGACCTCCAGGAGCTTTGCACATACATACATACATACAGGTAGGCACTCACACACATAAAATTAAAAAAAAGATAAATTTTTAAAAGCTAAAATAAAAAAAATTAAAGCAAAACAAAATTGTAGCCAGCGCGAGGAGGACCATTCTTTCCAATGACCCTTTCATATGCCCCTGTCCCAGGCCCATCTCAACCTCACCTGCCCCTTGAGGACGATTTTTTCCGGTTCTGACCACTTGGGGAGCTCTAAGCAGCATTCCCAGCACCCCCCGCGGCAGACCCGGGATGAATGGAAAAGACACGCCCCCAGCGCGCGTGCGCACACTCGGAACCTAGCAGCCCCGGTCGCAGGCGCGTGCGCGCAGGACCCTTAAATCCGGCGGTGGGCGGTGCCGTGCACATCCGAGCACCATGGAGGTCCAGCCCGGGCCGCAGCAGCATGGCAGCCCGGGCCGCGCCGAGAAGCTGAACGAGCGGATGCTGGACGAGTTCGTGGCGCTGCACGGCCCCGCGCTGCGCGCCTCGGGCGTCCCGGAGAGGCTGTGGGGCCGCCTTCTGCACAAGCTGGAACACGAGGTGCGTGGCTTGCGCGGGCTGCGGGAGGGCTCTGCGGACGAGTGGGGTGCGCGGCACCGCGGCTCCGAAGGGGAACCACTTTCAGGCTCTGGAGCGGGGTGTGCCTGGGAGCCAGAGGGGGAGCGGCCGAGAGTTGCGCCCGGGCCGCTATCCTGCGGGGTCTGGGCCCGCCGAGGGTGCGCTGGTACCTGCAAACTGACATGCGCTTGGCTCGCGGCATCCCAGCACCTCGGCTGGAGTGTGAGGAGGACTCGCGACTCCACTTCTGGATGAGGAAAGTGAGGTTCTGGCGGAGGCAGCAGCTCCTGTTGGATTCAGGCCCCGCCAGCATCAATCAGTTCAGCCTTCTCTGTGCATGCAGCTGGGCTTGGTCCGTAGAACTCTGTGGAGTTGTTTCCCACGGCGTGAGTGTCAAGTCACTCCCTGTGTAGACTATGTAGGCCCTGGAAGGTGGAGAAGACTCCAAGAGAGAGTGAAAGGTGTTCTCCATCCGTCTTTGAGGGAACGGCTCCATCTTTCACCGGAGCTAGGCCTCCGCGGGGTGTCCGGCTTGTGCCGCTTCCGAACTGGGCCGTGGGTTTGCGAACTGAGGACCCAGCAGGTGCTGGGCGGGGCAGAGGAACTTTTGCGAAGCTAGAGCGTGGCTTCCCTCAGGACAGACACCATCTTACACTGAGATCCACTAAGGCTGCAGGTGACCAGTAAAGGCCAAGAACTAGGGGTCCCCTGAGGCTTGCTATGGGGCTGACACTGTACGGGAGCCGGATATTTCCTGCTTAAAGCCTGTAGGTAGGGCTGGGCTCACTGTTAGAGTGCTCGAGGGGGTGGGGGTGGGGGTGGAGGCCTCCGTCCCTACCCTATGGGAAGGGAGGTGCAGAGGAGCATTGGTTGTGCCAGCGACACAATATAGATGGTCCTGAGCGATGCCCTGAGGCTACAGCTCCTTGTTAGCCCACAGGGCAAGCCTCTTCGGTGTCTCGTGTGGTAGGTTGGGGTGTTAAATGCTTTTTCTACTTCGGTGTGATTATCAGACATTACCACATCCTAGATCGGGGCTCCTCCGTCAGCCGCACCTCCTTACAGAGGGGTTACCTCCTATAATTGGCTTCCCTCCGCTCACGTAGAGGGCCCTCCCCCGTGCTGCCACTTTCTGCCCTGATCCTAGGCAAATGCTGAGGTGAAACTGGCCCCCCACCCCCACCATTAGTGGGGATGAAAGGATACCCATGTTGCTGCTGGACTGTTGTGGAATGCCCCGCGATCCCACTCAGCCGGCCTCCTGGGGTGCCCACACTTGGTCAGGTGACTCCCCACCTAAGCTGTGGAAAGCAGGGATGGAAAAACACAAGCACCTGGCTCCCCGGGGGTTGGGGAGGGGGTGGATGATGACAGGAGACAGGAACTCCAGCACCTGTCCTGTCCCTTCTCCCTTGGGCTGCTGTGGGGTGGCCAGGGACGGGCATTGTTTTCACCCGGGCCCTCCTGAGCCATTCCAGACAGAGCTGAGTCACCACAGTGAGACCTGCCACCAACCCCGGAGGGAACAGCCGGGCTGCTCACCTGCCTGCCGAGGGCCCCCCTCCCCCACAAGGCAGGCAGTCCCGACTCCTTACCTTGATCAGTTCCACAGAAAAGACGGGAGGTGGTTTTGTTGTTTTGTTTTGTTTAAAAAAAAAATCCTCCCTCCCACTGGCAGGAATATCACTGGCAGCCTCTCCCTGGGGGCTACAGCTAAACAGGTTGGGCTTGGTCCCTCCATGCCCCAGCAGAGGAAAGGCCAAGCCAGGCATCATCAGGTTGGGCCTGCTTGTCTTCTAGAAGGGGTGAAAGGCTGGGGGATTTGGAGGACTGGTGATGCCTGAGTCATGGGTCCCGGAGCCCCTAGTTTTAAATGAGGGCAGGCCTCCCCTAACCACCTAAGCTAGGGCTTTCTTGAAAGCCAGCTTCCCCTTACCTTCTGGTTGGCCCACCAGTCTCCACCCTGGAGTATGGTAACCTCCCTGCTCCCCACACACACTTCCCCATACATTTAGAGTGAGCGTGTGTGTGTGTGTGTGTGTGTGTGCGTGTGCGTGTGTGTGTGCGCGTGCGTGCGCGCGCACCAGCAGAGTCCCCTTCTTCCTGCCTCTTACAAAACTTGTCCATTCCTAAGTAAGTAGTGGATTGTAGCTGCCCCGGAGTGTGGGAGAGGTTTGAGGGAAGAATTTGCCTGTTCTGTTCCATTTTATCTGATTCTTGCAGATGTCCTACAGAGAGCATGATAACTCCTTCCACGAGTGAGGAAACTGAGTCCTGAAGTATGATAGTGGAGCCTGGCTTGTGAGACCCTTGCCAGAGCCCAGGCCCTGTTCTGTGCCTTCTTTTGTGTTAGTAACTGACTTCTCAACAACCCCAGACTTCCCTGTAATACAGATGAGGAAACTGAATCACAGAGGGTTTGGGGTAACTTTGTTACTTATGTAAGACATCCGGAGTTTCTCCCCCCCCCCCCCCCCCCCACTGGCTCATGACAGGCCTGAGGTGTGTGCCTGATGGGAACGGGAGGGACCGTGGGAGAGGAGAAAGACTTGTGGCTTCTCCAGCTGTCCTTGACTCCCGGTTGTTCTTGGCCTGGGAAATCCAAGCCCACGTCTTACAGTTCCCACTCTGTCCTGACAGTTGTCCCAGAGTCCTCAGGCCACACTTTCTGCTGCGCTAATGTGGGGAGGCGCCTGTGGGCTACCTCAACTGTCCTGCTATCAAAGTAGCTTTGGTGAAAAGAAAATCAGGGTGCCCCCCAGCCAACCACCATCCTGAATGCCCATATGTCTCCAGCATCCTAGAGATGCTGGAGATGCATCTCATTCCCCTTGTAAAGCATGGGGGGGCAGGAACGACAGATGATTTCATTGTTGAGTGAGCACCTTGTGCCTTTTCCAAAGTGTGGCGTCCTGTGGGTGGTGACACAGGAGAGCATGGCATAGATTTGACCCTGGGGTCTTCCTAGAGAGGTCTCGGTTCTTCTGTTAGATATTAAGAGGCTCTGTGATAAATAGAGCTAATGCTGAGCGCAGTGGTGCACACTGGTAATCCCAGCACTCTGGGAGGCAAAGGCAAGTGAATCTCTGTGAGTTCCAGGCCAGCCAACGCTACACGGAGAAACCCTTTCTCAAAAACCTGAATAAATAAATTGGGCTGTCATGCTCCTGGCGGGTGAAGCGCTCAGGGCTGGGGTCTCCTAACGCCCCCCCCCCCCACCCCGATTCATTGTGCTCTGGCCTTAGGTTTTCGATGCCGGAGAGATGTTTGGGATAATGCAAGTGGAGGAGGTGGAGGAGGCTGAGGACGACGCCACCAGGGAGGCTCAGAGGAAGCAGCCCAATCCGGGGAGCGAGCTGTGCTTCAAGGTCATCGTGACCAGCGAGAGTGGCGTCCAGGCCAACGACCCCAACAGGTAGGACCTGAGTCTGGGCAGTGGTGTTTTTAGAGAGTCCATCCAGACTCTTCCCCTGTGATGGGTGTGGCCGGTGGCATTCCCACGGGCTTTGGGGTAGTGTATGAGCCTGTGCTGCTGACAGTCTCCCAGGAAGCAACGCTTGATGCCCCTTGAAAGCGCATCCCGTGACCTCACTGCCGTGGTGGTCACCAGGGTGCTATGATAACCCCAGGGGAAGGACAGACTTGCACGAGCTTGTCAGTTGGCTAAGGATGTGGCTGCTGAACCCAGATAAACCTAACTGAGCCTGGCTTCGCTGAGGACCTTTGCCCCCTCTCCCCAAGCCTGCTGACTCAGGCCTGGGGGTGGTTCCCAGGGAGCAGGAACACTTGAGACCTAGACCAGACCTGGCATTGTCGAGAGACTTGGGGTGTCCTATCTCCTGGGAACCTGGGTGGGCCAGAGGCTTTGTCAGAGCCTCAAGGAAGTCACTTCATGAATTTCCCTGGCATCTAGCGGCTTGGACCGAGCTCTTGTCTTCCCCTTCACCAGCCCCTGAGTGAGCTGGGGCCACAGCACTGACGGCTGAGCAGCACCTTTGCCTGACGCTCACATCTACGAACAAGTGACTTAAGGTCCAGCCCTGCCCCGGAAGCTTGAGCCTCACTCAGCCCAAAGCTGTCCCACACCTCAGCACTGTGGGGAGTGCCTGGGGATGGACACACACACACACACACACACTGGTTGGAACCTGTCTTACTAACTTTTCCTATTGGTGTGATAAAATTACCCGAACCAGGTCAGCTAAGGGAGAAAGGGTTTATTCCGCCTCACAGTGTAAGACACAGCTCATCACGAAGGGTGGGGGTGGTGCAGGAGCGCCCAGCAGCAAGAGCTTGAGGCCGTCTTTCACGGCAGGTAGGGGTGGGTGCAGGGGGTGGTCCGCCAGCAGGAGCTTGAAGTCATCTTTCATTCGTATCTGAAATCTGGAAAGGGAACCATGAGTGCATTGTTGGTACTCAGCTGGTTTTCTACAGGACCCCCTGTCCAGGGGACGGCCCCTCCCGCAATTAAGATGTCTTCCCATACCAAGTCACGGAATCAAGACAGTCCCTCACAGGCATACCCAGAGCCCCACGTCCTGGCTGACACTCCATCCTGTCAGGTTGATAGCTCTGACCCTCAAAAAGGCACACGTGTCCTTTCGTCCCTTCTGCCCTAAGGACTATCCCTCTGAATATTCCGAATCTGCCAGGCTCCAGAACTCCTCCGTCCTCTCTACCTCGAGCCTACCCGGGCATGACTATTGTCACACTTTACGATCACCCCGAGCTGCACGCCCCTGAGGTGTGTCACATACTATACTGTGCAGGAATAAACCAGCCTTTGTTTCAGGGCATGCAAACAGACTGGGGAACTAAGAGCCTGGTAATATATTTCTGAACTTGACCTCCACGGATGCCCTGGAACATTGCTGTTCACACAGGGGCTGTGTGCTCAGGGGAGGAGCCCCTGTGTTCCCTGGGCACCTGTATGTGTGGATCCAGGAAAGCTTGCCGGAGGCCAGAGTTAGACAGGACAGACCTCTCCGATAGGAGGTTGTAGATCCTGGGGTATGCATACCTGTGCTTGTGGCGGGCTCCAGCTCCTTGTCACTTGCCTGATGGCGCTGCCGGTGTGTAAAGCCTTTGCTTGTGTCGAATGCCCGTCACTGCTAAGTCTGTAGTTAGCATGGTGGCAGCGGGAGCCTCCACCCTGTACCTGCAGCCAGGCTCTGACACTCACCTGGTGGTTGCGGTCAGGGGACCACATTTGTTCCATGTGAGGCTCCTGTCCCTCATGGTGTGGGAGATGGGGGCCTCCCCTTGTCCTGCTTCAGAGCTTCGAGGGGGAGACCTAGCTTCTCAGGGCCACTCTGAGTCAGGTGGCAGATCAGCGGCCTTGGGCCAGGGTGCCATAACTGAGGTGCTGGGGGCCAGATTTCTTCCTTCTGCTCTTTTCCCTCTTTCCCTTCTTGCCGTGACTGCTTAGTGCAGCGGTTCTCAACCTGTGGGCCGGGACCCTTTTGGGGGTCAGATGACCCTTTTATAGAGGTCACCTAAGACCACTGGCAAACAAAGACATCTACGCCATGATTCATGTCATGGCGTAGCAAAATTACAGTTATAAAATAGTGATAAGGGCTGGAGAGATGGCTCAGAGGTTAAGAGCACTGGCTGCTCTTCCAGAGGTCCTGAGTTCAATTCCCAGCAGCCACATGGTGGCTCATAACCATCTGTAGCGAGATCTGGTGCCCTCTTCTGGTGTGCAGACACATGCAGGCAGAATGCTTGTATGAAGTAGCAATGAAAATAATTTTCTAATTGGGGGTCACAACTATATGAAGACCTGTACTAAAGGGTTGCAGGAAGGGTGAGAGCCGCCGGCTTATTGACTTACGTGTGGCCTGTGCCTGCAGCATCTTCCTCATCGACCATGCCTGGACATGCCGTGTGGAGCATGCACGTAGACAGCTTCAGCAGGTGCCCGGACTCCTGCACCGGATGGCCAACCTGATGGGCATCGAGTTCCACGGTGAGGTGCCCAGCCCGGAGGCTGTGGCTCTGGTGTTGGAGGAGATGTGGAAGTTCAACCAGACCTATCAGCTGGCCCATGGGGTGAGTATGCTCACCTTTCTCCCGGGACTGGCGGAAGCCCTGCTTGGTCCCTGGGCCTTTATCAGAAGTGGGTCACCAATAATAAAACCAAGCAAGTTACAGCTAGACAGGGAGGTACTCCCCTTTCCTCGAGGAAAAAGAGGCAGGTGGATCTCTGAGTTCAAGGCCAGCCTAGTCTACCCAATTTTAGGCCAGCCAGAGCTGATACAAGACCTTATCTTGGTACCTGGCACCAGCCAACACTGGGGACCAAGGTACTTACTCTGCCTTTGCTCTTACAGGATACAGGCCTCCCTCAGACCTCTTAACCTGGCCTCCAGTGACTCAGCTGCCCCTTCCAGATATGTTGCCCTCTGTGGTTCTTGCCACCCTTGAGAGGAGAGCAGAATACTTTGACATACCTTCCGGCCTACACCCCCACACTGCCAGGCTTCTAGGCTCATCCCCCAGGCTCGAGCCCCTCCCCACTCTAACCTTGGGGGAAGCCATGCCTGATTCTTACGGTCTAGCTCCTTGAGCCTTCCCCACCTCAGCATACCACACATGGATTCCTCCCTGCCGTTAACTGGGCCCTACTGCTGCCTTGTTCTCACAGGCTGGGCCTGTTCATCGGGTGAACCTCCAAGCTCAGAAGTGGGCGGAGGTGGACAGTGGTTGATGTTGGGGAGACGGCGGGTGGGTGGACACGTGGCCACGGACTGTTGTATCCTGTCCACAGACAGCTGAGGAGAAGGTGCCAGTGTGGTACATCATGGACGAGTTTGGCTCAAGAATCCAGCACGCGGATGTGCCCAGCTTCGCCACCGCTCCCTTCTTCTACATGCCCCAGCAGGTGGCCTACACGCTGCTGTGGCCCCTGAGGGACGTAGACACAGGCGGTAAGTCAGGTGCCTGCATACCACAGAGGATGGGCCTTGGTCGGGCCTGCTGCCACCCCCACTGATGGGCACACGTGTCTTGGCGCAGAGGAGGTGACCCGGGACTTTGCCTACGGAGAGGCAGACCCTCTGATCCGGAAATGCATGCTGCTGCCCTGGGCCCCCGCTGACATGCTGGACCTCAGCTCCGCCACGCCTGAGCCTCCTGCCAAGTACTATCAGGTGTGGCCCTGGGCCTAGTGTTTGGTGGTTTCTGGAATGTTCTCTATCCATTTACCAAATGTTTAAGTGTCAGCTGGGTTCCGGGCTCCACACTGGCTACTGCGGGGTGGAATCATTCAAGGAGCGCCTGAGAGATAGGAGCCTTACCGGACACCAGCTCCTGTAGCCACACAGTGCAGCCATCTGTCCTGATAGAGATCCCAGTTGGCCTGGGTTTGCGAAGAGGAAGAGGCCTGTGTAGCTAGATCTGTCTGTACACACTCCTCTGTCCCTCCTCTTCTCATGATGCTCCCTCGTGGGGAACAGGAAGACACCAGTTGTTCCTTGGTGTCCATGGGGATGGGTTGCAGGACCTCACGGACACCAAAATCTGTGGGTACTCAGGTTTCTCAAGCTTGTAGGGGTATGAAAATCTGTGGGTGCTCAGGTTTCTCAGGACTGCAGGGATACGAAAATCTGTGGGTACTCAGGTTTCTCCCATAAAGCTGCCAGCACAGCCTCCAGGATCCGATATCTTCCCTGGATTGTCTATCATTTCTCAGCACAGTGGCGGTGCTCTGTGGACAGTCGTGTTTTGGGGACGATGACAGAGAAAGAAGTCCAAACACACTTTGACTCACTGTTAGTTGACTCTAGGTAGCAGAGCCCATAAGCTGGGAGGGCCAGTCCTGTTGTCCACTTCACAACACAGCAGGCCCTCAGGGAGTTCTTGCTGTCCATGGGAAGCCTGTAGGTCAGGACCCTGCAGGTCCACTCAGAAGTGCCTAGCTATGATGAGGTCATGCAGAGGCCCAATACCCATCAGGAACACAGCCCCTGCCTGGACAGATAGCCTAAAGGTAAGAGCATGAGCTGCTACTGCAGAGGACCCGTGTTCAGGTCCCAGCACCCAGGTCAGGTGGTTCACAACCATCTGTCATCAAGTTCATGGTACCCAACATCCTCTTCTGGCCTCCATGGACACTGCACACACTTGACACACAAATGCACATGCAGGTGAACACTCAGAAAAACCCATCTGTATTGGGGTATGAAACTCGGCCCCTACAAGAACCTCCCCTCTTGTCCTCAAATCTCTACACACGGGAACCAGTGCCTGGCATGGACAGATAGGCTGCCCTATCTGTTGATAGGTTCCGTTGATGGTAAATAAATTGGGATGTGGAAAGGTAGAGTCCGAAACTCCTCAGGCTACAACTCTCAGCCTCCTGTGTTTGCGTCTGCCCTGGCATGCAGACATCTGATGCCCACCGAGTGCCTGCACAGGTTGTAGAAGGATTAAGCAAGTTAACAACTCAGGTTGTAATGGAAGCTCTGCCAGTTGCTGGTCGGCAGGGGCATGCCACAGTCGTGGTCTCATGGCACCTTCCTGAATCCAGCAAGATAGGAGGAGATGCCGTGCCTCCTGCTGGGGGTTCAGAGCTGGGCTCACGACCTCCTGAGTGCTCGTGTCTAGTCAGGGTTGGTTGAACATGAAATTGGGCGACCAAGGTGAGGTTCAAGGGTGGCTAGGGAAGGTGCCACTGTCCTCCAGCTTCCATGTTGGTGGGTCATGAGGACTTGGCAATCTCCTTGGGAAGCCAATGCAGGAAGAGAAAAGGGGGCAGGAGGCCAGACACTCCTGACCTGAAACTTCACTTGCACAAGACCATGGATCCAGCCAGAGATCTGGTCGCTGTGGGGTGACCTGTGCTGGTGACAAATTAGGACAATAAATATTTTTGGTTCCCCCAGTTTCTGGGGAACAGGAACTGGAGACAGTGCTAAGCACGTGCTTCTGGTTCAGGGTTTCTGGGTGGACACATTGTCCCCCAAAGCTGAGGAATCTGAGCCTTCCTGGAGCTGAGAGGCTTGGCGAATCAAGCTGGCTGCTGGATGCCTTGGTGTCTGCACACAGGTGCCTCTCTGTGGGCTTCTGAGTGTCCCCGGGGTACAGTAGCTGACTCTTCTTTGAGCGAGGGATCCAGGACCAAGCAGGAGGGAGGTGAGGGTCCTGTGATCTGGGCTCAGACCTGTTGCTTCTCTCTCTGCTGCTCATTAGAAGTAGCTCCTTGGGTCTTAGGATGGACTAGGCCCTGCCTTTCAAGGGAGTGCCAGAGCGTGTGGACATGTCTTAAACTGTTAGCCAGCTTAGGCCAGGAACAGCCCTCAGGGGTGCCTCGCAGCACAGGTTACCGCCTGTGTCTGGAGCGCAGCATGGAAAAAGAGAACAATGTGTGTCTTGTTCTTTGCCTAACATGGACTCTTGGGGGACCTGAGAGGCCCAAGCCCAGAGCCTCAGGTCAGGTAACCCTGACCTGAGGATGTAAAGGGTGGGGCCTGGCCTGCAGGGTTGAGGAAGCTCAGAGTCCTTTGCTCCCTTCGTTGAGGTCTGTTTCTGCCTCTGATTCTAGGCCATTTTGGAGGAAAACAAGGAGCAGCTGCCGCTCGCCATTAGCCCAGTGTCACATCCCCAGGGCCACATCTTCAGGTACACAGCTGCTGTCACTGAAACTTGACTTCCATCCCTGCCACTTGCAGGCCCCAGAGCAAGGCCTTTCTGAACCCCAAGTTAGTGGCTCTGTCCTGGAGGCTTGGAATCTAGGCATGCTGGCAATGGTACCAGAGTTTGTAGAACCTTGGAAGAATGAGAGAAGGTGGGCGGGGCTGCCTGGAGGGGGCAGCTGTTGAACTTGACCTGGAAAGTTAGAAACTGCCAGGCACCGTGACATTCCTATAATCATAATGTGAGAGACAGAGGCAGGAGGATTACCACAAGTTCTCAGCCATCCTGGGCTACAGGGTGAGACCATATGTCAGTAAAGGAAGAAGGCACCGGTATTGCCAGGAGAGCCTGTCTAAGGAGTGTAAGGGTGTGGGCAATGATGGGAGAAGACACGGCCATACTTCTATGCCACGGGGCCTGGGCACAGAGCCACGCCCTGGTGTTGAGCAGGGCCTCTGCCTTTCCAGGAGCCCTCTCCACAGGTCTCCGGATGCCATACCCATGCCTGCTCAAACTTGGTCCAGCTAGAATTGGGACGTATGTTTCGCTCTGCCCAGTTCCACCAGGTCCTGGGAGGGGGGGGGGTAGCTCTACAGGCTCCTCCTCCTGCTTGAATCCAGAGCCCTAGCCCAAGCAGAGGGTGTGTCCTGAGACAAGGATCTGGCCGTGAACCCCACTCCCTCCCACACACACACACCCTTTCCCCTCTGGAATGGACTAGGTGAGGCCCCCGTCAGCATCCTGCTTGCAGCAATTGACACTCTTGCAGCAGGCTGTGCCTCGCTTGGAGCCCTCCCAATGCAGCATCCTCCCCAGCCGCTCCCTGCCTCACCCTGATGCCCTGTGGCCTCTTTGTCTTCACACTCTGTCCCTTCAGAAATAAAGCCACCTCCAGGCCCCATCCTCACTTCTGGGCTGGGTTTGAAGTTCCGGGGCATAGAGATCCAGGAGATCTGCAGATCCAGGAGAGCCCACTGGGGGCGCTAGCTCTCCTTGCTTGAGATCAAGCAGGATAGGGAGAGTTGGTGGTGTCTGCCTGACCACAGCCATTGCCATGTTTCCAGGTTCCCTAGCCTCTTATTCAAGAATGAAATAAAAGGGCCAGCGAGCAGGGTTGGCCAGCATTCCCGACAACCTCATTCCTGGGACTCCCATGGTGGAGGGAGAGAAGCAGTTGCCTACCTCAGGTTGTCTTCTGACCTCTGTGAGCACACGTACACAAACGCACACAAATAAGTAAATTTAAGGAAGGCAGGACAGTTCACGCCGGTTAGAGAGGAGCAGAGAAGCACACTGTCTAGGCCGATAGAGTGTCCCACAGACTGAAGACACTCAAGAGTCCCAATTGTTGTTTGGGATTTCCTTGGATGGGGCTCAAGAGAAAGTTCCCAGAGGTATAAGTTGGGGAGAGGGGTGTTGGTTGGTGTTTCTCTGTGTAGCTCTGGCAGTCCTGGAACTTGCTCTACAGACCACGCTGGCCTTGAACTTAGAGCTCCTCCTGCCTCTGCCTCCCTAGTGCTGGGACTAAAGGTGTCTGGAGACAGCTGGTGTCTCCATGTCTCCATTTTGACTAAGACGCTTAGGTTTCCTATCCCTTTACTCACTGTGCATGGCCATTCCCATAATGCATCTGACCCTGATCATACGTGTTTCCACTAATCAGGGACACAAGGTGGTGAATAAAGGAGGGATTCTCCCTAAAAGTTCACTTGAGGACAGTTTTGCCTTACTGCCCTCGCACCCTAAGCCAGCTCAGGCCAGGTTTTCCCTCCTCCTGGGATGTACCTTTTGAATAGAAACTGCCCACTTTTGGTGTCATGGTTGGGAGGAGAGGTTTGCCCCATTGTTCACTGTTCAGAGTGGAGTGGATATAGCCCAAGCCGTGCGGAGTCCTGGAAGCTAAGCTCTGGGGAAACTGGGATCATGAGTGTCCTCTACAGCTGGGCAGAGGAATTGCCAGCATCGGGAATTCCTTGGGACTCGCCGATGCAGAACTGGGGCAGGCGGGGGCTCCTGCTAACAGTTGGGTCACCACTCACCCGTGTCTCTCCACAGAGTCCACTCCGACATGCAGCAGGTCCTCCGCCACCTCACCCACCCACGTTTCGCCTTTACCGAAAGCGAGGCTGATGCTGACGTCCTCTACCACTTCTCACACTTCAAGGACTACAGGTGGGTGCCTCGCAGCCCTCCAGGCCTCCCACCCGGTGCCTCAGGCTGCCCAGGACCTGTCCCCAGGTCCTCAAGCGTCCTCTTAAGCTCGCCGCTCCCGCTCCCCTGTACGCTGAGTGACCTCTAAGTTGGCCATGCCTGTCTCCACCCGTAGGAAGCTCAGCGAAGAGAGGCCACAGGTGCTGCTCAACCAGTTCCCCTGCGAAAACCTGCTGACTGTTAAGGACTGTCTGGCCTCCATCGCTCGCCGGGCTGGCGGTCCTGAGGGTCCCCCCTGGCTGCCCCGAACCTTCAATCTGCTCACTGAGCTGCCCCAGTTTGTCAGCTATTTCCAGCACCGGGAGAGACGGTAAGTCCCCTGAGCTGGAGGCGGGGCGAGCAGACACTCCTAGGCACTGCCATTATAATGCTGCCATTCTGCCCCATCCTTATGCCATGCCCAGCCTGCTTCTTAGCCGAGCACCTAAGCCTCTCGTGTTGCATTTGGGGATGGGTAGGGGGCTTCCTCCCCGTTAATACTCCTCAGGTTCCATCAGACGCCTCCTGATAACAGTGCTTCTGTGACATTCCTAAGAGATCCTGGCTTAGCCAACCTGCCTCTAGAGCCTCAGGACACGTCTGAAAGGCAGGGATGGCTCAACTGATGTCTTCCCCCAGGGGTGAAGACAACCACTGGATCTGCAAGCCCTGGAACCTGGCCCGCAGCCTGGACACTCACGTCACCAACAACCTCCACAGCATCATTCGCCACCGAGAGAGCACCCCCAAGGTGGGCACACAGCTCACCACACCTGGGTGCTCCAAACACAGGCAGAGACATCAAGGAGAGTAGGCCTCAAGACCTCTGCGGCTAGGGCTGAGGTCAGGGGAGTTGGTTGTAGACTTAGGGTCACTCGGCTTGTGAGGATCAAATCATAGCGCTGCGGCACGTGGGCTGGTCGCCCATGGAGCCCCCGGGTCTGTGGTAATGAGCCTGTAGGAGTGGGGCGTCCTGTGGCTGCGCTGGGAAGCTGTTTCAGGACACAGGGTTCTCCTGGGCCGTGGCTACAGGAATGGGACACGTTGGCGGCACAAGCTGGAAGGAAATGAGCTTTGAGGACTGTCAGTCACTGTAGGGATTCGAGGCAGCAGATGGGAGTGGGTGGAGCTATTGGTGAGATGGATCCGTGGTTAAGAACGCTTTCTGCTCTTGCAGAGGACGCAGGTCCTGTTCCCAGCACTCTTACTTTAATAGATCTAATAAATCTTTTAAAATATAAAATAGGGGTGAACGTAAAGAATTTGTGATGCCTTGGTTAGAGTTTGAAACCGCAGGAGGAGCCGGGGCAGCCATCGCTGGCTGTGATGGCGTTGCATGCAGAGTCCTTCTGTGGACACAGGTGAAAGAGATCCCCCGCCATCATCATGGGTCTCGGGGTGCAGGAGCGCCCCGATACTCTGTCCTGCCCAAGTGAGGTGGGAGCCACTGGCGAGTTCACATCTGTCCTCCAGGTTGTGTCCAAGTACATCGAAAGTCCTGTCTTGTTCCTTCGGGAAGACGTGGGGAGAGTCAAGTTTGACATCCGCTACATCGTGCTGCTGCGCTCAGTGAGGCCGCTGAGGCTGTTTGTGTATGACGTGTTCTGGCTGCGCTTCTCCAACCGGTAAGTGGGGAAGACCGGTGCCTGCTGAGGGCTAGGTAGGGAAGGGGCTGGACAAGGGAACCTGTCCCTCACTGTGGGGCCAGGAAGCCTGCACTGGACCTCATCCACTACACCACCCAGCCCACAGCTGCTCAAATACTCAGTGACGTCACTGTTGTAACGAATTGGATATCATCACAGAATCCTGGTGGTGTAACATTGCGGTTTACGGAGAATCTCCACACACAGCACATCACTGGTCTTGACCCCAACTCACACCGAGGGGCTGTCCCAGCCCATGGACAACGGGAACAGTGTACCCAGCCCCCAGCAGTGTGTGTCTGCTCTGCACGGAGCTGGGAGCCCACGCTCGTCCCTCCACTTCTCTTTCAGGCCCTTCGCACTCAACGACTTGGACGACTACGAGAAGCATTTCACCGTCATGAACTACGAGCCGGATATGGTGCTGAAGCAGGTAGCGTCTGCTGGGGCCCAAGGGCAAGTCCAGGTTCTGGTTATCACAGCCAGGTCCTGTGTCCTTTCAGGAAGGTCCTTCCCATGGTGCTAAAGAGCACCCAGCGTTCCCAAGCCGAGTCAGTGGAGTGAGGTCTCCGTAAGGGGTCGCTGCCACACAACGGGCACTGTGAGGTGGCAGTGCCATTTGCATGCCAGGGCTGAAGGCAGCGGGGCACACAGCAGACCAGCAGCTTCCCTGGGACAGGAGGGTGCAAGCACCAGGTCCTGGCTCTGGGTATGGGGAGGAAAGGGGAGCTAGCGAGACTGCTGGGGGTATTACATCAGAGTTCTCTGTCTTGGCTAAGTGTGAGCACAGAATCCCTGCTCCTGCCTGACAGGAGACCAGGAAAGCACCTCTCTGAGCCTCGCTTCCCTCCCTCCCCGGAATGTGTGTTTTTCCTCTGCAGGCATACCTCACTGGTTTTTGTTTTGGTTTGGGTTTTTTTTGTTTTGGTTTGTTTTTTTGGTTTTTTTTTTTTTCAAGTTGTTTATTTTGGTATTTTTGAGACATGGGCTCATGTAGCCCAGGCTGGCCTTGAACTCTCAGTTTTTTTCTCAGCCTCACATGTGAATACTGGGTGCAGAGGCTGGATTCCATGGCTTCTGGCTTTCTGAGGCGCCTCTCTGTGGCCTGCCCAACCATCTTCTAAGTGGGTTTGTGAGAAAGGAGCTGCCACAGCAGAGAGGCTGTGCTGGCTCACTCCCGTGGGCCTAAGTGGCCTTGTTGCTTACCTTTGATTGGATTGAAAGCCAGGACCCAGATTGCCCATCAAGGCCCATGGCATCATTGGAAGCCAGCCCTAAGGGTGCTGAGCTCTTTTCCTCTACCTCGTGATTGTGTTACTTGAGAGGCCCTTTCTTCAGGAACTTGTGTCCCGTGGGACATGCATGTGGGTCCTCATTGTTCTTTGATTTGGTTTGGTTTTTTGAGACAGGGTTTCTCTGTGTAGCCCTGGCTGTCCTAGACTCGCTTTGTAGACCAGGCTGGCCTCAAACTCAACAGCGACCTGCCTGCCTCTGCCTCCTGAGTGCTGGGATTACAGGCGTACACCACCCCCACCCAGCCTCTAGGCCTGCTTATTCAGATATTTTGGTAAACTCTTGGTCTAGGGAATCTTGTCCTGGGGTGCTTCTGGGCAGCCCTGCAGAGTGGGTCTGGGCTCTGCTGCCAGTGAGCTATGCTGAGCTGGGCATGACGGGAGGGCCTAGCAGCCTCCTGAGCCCTGGAGCCTCGCAGCAGCCCTGCGGAGTCAGTGAGCTGAGCAGGAAAGGAAACTGAGGCTCAGGCTGGTCATTTTGGTTATTCTGTCTGCCTGGAACCTAACCTTGGTCTCCCGTCCTCCTGTGTACCCCGAGGAGCGGAGCTGGGCCAAACCCTATGCAGCAGGACTGATACCTGTTTGAGCCTTCTATCTTAGAGGCAGCTGCTGTCACCATGGTAACTGGCTGTCCTCTGTTACAGGTGCACTATCATGAGTTCATCCCCCAGTTCGAGAAACAGTACCCAGAGTTTTCCTGGAGTGGTGTCCAGGTGAGTCTTGGGCTCTGCCAGGCCGGGGCTGTGGAAGCTGCTCCCTTCCCTTACAGGCAGAGGGGGTTCAGAGACCTTCCCTCCACCTGCACTCCAGGGCCTGTGTGTGGCCATTCTGGCGACTCTAAAGAGTGTTCCTTAGCGGGAGGGAGGGAATTAGGGGCATCCTGAGGTAGCCCAAGAGCAATAGGCTCCACCAACTCAATAGGCTCCACCAACTCCAGGAATCTTAAGTCCACCAGGGCCACAGGGGCTGGCAGGGGGCTGGTTATAAGACAGGAAGTCGGCAGGTTTGCTAGAGGTAGACTCCTGAGCTAGGGCTTGGCTCAGTGATGCGAGCTTGCCTAGAATGCACGAGGCTCTGGGCTCCTTCCTCAGTTCAGAGAAGAAACGGACTCTGGGCGTGTGGGGACTGGCACACATGGCCACCTGGCCAAGCCTAGAGACATAAAGAATGGAGGAGTGATGAACTGGGGAAACATGACCAGGCCTCGTTAGTCCCGAAGTCGGGGTTGAGGACACCCCGAGACAGAGCATTGCTTGTCCCCAGGCTGAGATCTTCAAGGCCTTCGTAGAGCTGTTCCAAGTGGCATGTGCCAAGCCACCACCCATGGGCCTCTGCGACTACCCGTCATCTCGGGCCGTATATGCTGTTGACCTCATGCTCAAGTGGGACAGCCATCCAGATGGTAAGGGAACTATCCACACCAGAACCCTCCACAGACCACACACGCCCCACCAAGCAGCACCAGGGACGGCTGTGGTAGGGTTGGTTGGTTGGTTGTTTTCCTGAGAGTTTTTTGTTTGTTTGCTTGCTTGCTTGTTTTTATATATTTGAGAGCTCTCTGTGTGTGTGCGCATGTGTGTACATGCACATGCCTGGTACCCCCAGAAGTCAGAAGAGGACCCCCTGGAACACGAGTGGTTGTAAGCCACCATGTGGGTTCTAGGAACTGAGTCCAGGTCTTCTGCAAAGATAGCAAGAGCTCTCGTTGCTCATGCGTCTCTCTGGCCCCATGTTTCGCTGGATAAACCAGCCAGGTGGTCCAGCCTGATGATCTGAAAGCAGCTGCTTCAGTGCAAGGGGAAAGGCAGACTGAGAACTCCCACGACAGGAGAGCCGGAGCCACACTGCTCGCTCTGACCAAACCGGTCATGGAAGCTTGAAGCGCTGTACCCTCACTGTCCTCGGATTAGGGCTGGCACCAGCCTCTCTCCAGGGAACAGGTCTCAAGAAACCCACATTCTGATCACGCACTGGGAGTTGGGGCCAGCCTGTCCTCCCAAGACAGATGGGTGCCCGCACCTTTCTGCCATCACGGCCTCCCCTCACCCCACCCCCGTTTCTCCACCAGGAAAGCGGGTGATGCAGCCTCAGATCCTGGAGGTGAACTTCAACCCCGACTGCGAGCGAGCCTGCAGGTACCACCCCTCGTTCTTCAATGATGTCTTCAGCACCCTGTTCCTGGACGAGACCAGCGACTGCCACGTTACCCGCATCATCTAGGCGCCCAGAGCCCTCCTGCCCGTGCCCAGAAGCTGGTCCCAGCCTCTCTGCTGATGGAGCTGCTTCTCAGCTGCAGCCCCAGCCTTCTCCCTTTCCCTCCTCCCTCCATCATCCCCAGTCTGAGCCTTGGCCTAAGCAAGGCTCTCTGCCTTCTGGAGCCCCGTTCCTGCTTCGTAAGTGGGACGTCAGGTCCATACCATGTGGCAGAGCTGGACGGTTGAGTGGTGTTCCAAAGAGCTGGAAACTGCCCCAGGTACTCGTCACGCCTCCTGACACCTTCTCCTCCCTGACGAGTCTAGAGCTCAGCCAAGGGAGTTCGCACAAAGAGGTGTTCCACCGATAAGGGTTCCACAGGGAAGCATTTTGGAACCCAGTATCCAGCAGGGCCATGGCTGCCGCGAGCAGGATTCCAGCGCCCTGTGTTGTACCCACAGGCCCTGGGACAGCCAGGGGAAAACATTTGCCAGCCCAGCCTTACGCCTCGGCACCCTCTATATAGAGCCTTCACCAGCAAGACTTTACAGCCATGCCTGCCCTTCGCATCTCTCTCCCTCTGCGGAGCCCGACCGTCCCATGGTCTCCTGCGGGCCAGCAGCTCACCAAGTCCCACTGTCGTCTTGAGGTGGTCAGAGTGCTAGGGTGCTCTAGGGCTCTGAGGCTCCATGGCCGAATCCAGGCAGGGGTGACTGTAGAAATGCCAAGGCTGCTAAGCTGACCCTGAGGAGAGCTTCTTGTGGAAGTGAAGCTGCCTCTTGCCAAGGCCTAGAGTCAAAACGTGAAGACAATGTAACATCTAGTTCCTAATTTTATTGCTGGAATCTGAAGTCCTTTTGTTTCTGTAACTGATGGGTGCTGGTCTCTGCAGCCATCTAGGAAGTGGGTCTGGTTAGAGAGGGCAGGAGCTGCTTCCAGAGTGTCCTGCTACTTGGGTGGAGCACTGTGGTGGCTATTGCACTTTGAAAGCGACCCTCCACTTGGCATAACTGGACATGGTTCTCCCTGACCATTCATGTTGCGTCCAGCCACCACCAGGGGCAGGGCAGACACTTGCAGTCCTGTCCCTGGGGAGCTGCTGGCCTCGCTGCCCTTTTATACTGCAATAAAATTTGCCTTTTCACCTGGTCTTTTCTCTTTGGGGCCCTGGAGGCACAGGCCTGGGCTGGCATGGCAGATGTGTTCCCCCATTGTTGCAGGCAGATCCTAACATGTCACCGTTGTGCTTTGAGAAATGACAGAGGAAAGTCCTAGTGAGAGTCCCAGTTCCATGTTGGGTAAGAGCTGCTGAGACCTGGGCTGTCTACACCACCAGCCCACAAGAACTTTCGTTTCACAGGGCCTGAGCTTGGTCTCACTTGTGACCTTGGGAAATGGCTTTCTCTGTGCCATCCACTTGATAGGGTGGAGATGAGGGGCCATAACTCAAGAGGGTATGGGGTCTGATGGAAGACACAGGCCCTACTGAGTGGCACCATGTTGAAACAAGGCAGAACTGGCCCTGGAACAAGGTTAGGGCCGGGGCCACATTGTTTCTGAGTAGCTACCCTCTAAGGGGTCCCATGTGCCCTTCAGGACCAGTGCTTGAGATGCCAGGACATTTGTTCAATCCTGTGCTGATGTTGAACGGGACCAGCAAGATGGCTCATCAGTAGCACCTGCTGCCAAGCCTAAAGACCTCCCTGGGGAGGGACCTCCACACACTGCAGAGAACCAACCCACAGCTTGTCCTCTGACCTTCACGTAATAGACGTGAACGGCCATGCACGTACACAGAAAAATGTAATTTACGCTCTTTCTAAAGCAGCTGCTTAACACGGTCCAGCTGGTCCAGCATCCCTCAGGCTTGGCCATCTGCCAGCTGAAAAGACACATCCACTGGTTCTATCGCTGACAAATCCTGGTTTTCATCCACACGCTGATAACTTCCTCCGTTTAAGAGGTCATCAAAGGCCACCACGTGCCCACCTTAGGTATGCGGAGTTGGCTGGAGAGCGCTGGCAGTTATGCCATAGCTGCTGAAGAAGGAAGTGGGAAGCAGAGCTCTGGAGGCCCGGGCTCGGGCTCCAGGGAGATGCTGGTGGCTGACCACAAACTGATGTGTTTGACAGCCCCCTCTTAGCCTGAGTCAACATGGCTGCCATGCTGACGGTTGGCCAACCAGCTCCTCCATAGCCAGTTGGCTGGAAACATGAATGTAAAGGTTGGAGGCCCTTACTGTGGGAATGAGCACAGACCAGAGTGTTCTAAGTCAGCGGGCAAAGTGCCCTTCTCGTTAAACACGGCAGAAAGCTCCTGTCTTAACAGCTGATGACAACAGAATAGATGGTGCTCCTGGTGGTGGACAGAGGAAACACATTTGTGGGTGGCAAATGACCCTCAGCAGAATACTGCGGGGCATTGCTGAAACTGGCACTGCCCCTCTAACCTTAGGTGCGCTGTCCCTAAAAGGGCCCGGCATGGGAGTCTGTGACATGGGGCATTTGTGGCATCTGGAAGCAGGAGGGTGGCTGAGGTAGTGACCGTGTAAAAGACACGTTGTCCTGTCTGCCAGCTGTTGGCCTAAAGAGGTTATAGGTCACCCAGGGTAGGGTTAGGTGGCCCCTCCAGGGCCAGATGGGTCTGGCTCAGCAAGATGGCTTTGTCCACCAGTGTTGGCACTCAACACCCACTTCCTGCCAGGGCCCCCCTAGGTGCAGAATCTGGATGGTACAGCCCAGACAGGCCCAGCCTCGGCAGTAGAGCCATCCTGCATGACGACAGGATGCCTGACCCGCAGGCCAGATATCCCAGTAAGCGCAGAGTCTACCACATGTGAAATTAAAGACTTTATTTAGCTTTAAAAGCCTGTGCTCCTCGGGCATATTCTGGAGCAATGAAGAAAGGCAGATACAACTGTCCCTGCATGGGACTTGGCACTGACCACCTTGACCTACCTGGTGGCTCCCTGGCCAAGACTCAGGCAGACAAGCAGACCCAGTGGTCATGAAAGCATGATTGACGGCCACCACCACGGTGCCTGGCTGGCAGTGCTGCAGTCCTGCAGTCCTGATGGTTAGGTGCTCTCACTCCGGGAGCCTCGGGCCCCCTCGCCGGCCAGAGTTATCACGCCATATGGTGTAGTTGAGCATGGTGGCAAAGGCCAGCCAGGCCAGGTAGGGGTAGAGCAGGCGGGCGGCCGGTGGGCTCACTCGGTGCCAAGCCACGGTCGTAGCGGTCGCCACCCCGCTGATGAGCAGGAGGTCCGCCAAAGCCTGCAGAGACAAGACATGGGGAAGAGGCTAAGGCCCTGCTGAGTCTACAAGCCGGAATCCTCAGCCCTCCTGCACCCTTACGGCATGATGCCTGCCTCTGTTCTCGGCCTCAGTTTCCTTGGCTGCAAGTCCCTGCCTGACTGTGCCATGTACAGAGTACGCATGACAGCTCCCCGGGAACACAGCATGTCAAAGAAGGGACCTTCAAGGCCTCTGACCTGGAAATGCAATGTGTCAAGTACTGACCCAAGAGGCCAATGTGGGGCCAAACTGTTATGGTGTGCACAACTCAGGCTCAGCATAGCTTTTTTTTTTTTTTTTTTTTTTAAGGCTGTTCTCACTGTATAGTCTTAGCTGACTTTGAACCAGCTTTGTAGACCAGGCTGTCAGACTTACAGCGATCATCCTGCCCCTGCTGGGACTACAGGCCAGGCATGCATCGGCAAAGCTGAGCAGGAATATTTTCAAGGAGAGGTTCTGTCCCCACATGTCACGTGCACAGCACCGGATGTAAGGCTGGCGCCTCTCATCATTCTTCTGAACCCAAGATGGCAGCCCCACCCGCTTCAACCTGGCCCTCCTGACTTTCTTCATGGAGGGAAGATGGGCTGAGAGGGCCTTAGTACACAGGTCACTGTCACCTACGCTGGCCTGGCGCTCTCCTAGGCTCAGCCGATCATCCCATATCAGCCTCCCGAGAGCTGGATGACAGGGACCCCACTGAACCTGACTACTGGAACTTCTGAAAGGCGGTGAGCCACAGGCCTCCCTGCCACCTAACCCCATCTGGAATGTGATGTCACCCGCTCTCCCAGGGCCATCTCCAGTGACCTAAGAGTCAAGTCACTACCACACTTACCCAGCCCATCTGCCGGGCACCAAAGAAGATGGGGGGCCACGCCCAGTTCAGAGCCAGCTGACCAGTGTAGAGGCCCAAGGGAACCATAGCCTCCTCTGTGAAACCTCCTAGCTCCTTCCAGACTATGTAGGAGCCATACCTAAAACAGACAACCAGTCAGGACATCACAGGGCAAGGCCAAGAAGAACATTACCCTCCTCCGAGACCACACAGCGATGGCTCCAGTTTGTCCTGAGTTCTGTGTGATCTTAGAAAAGCTGCTCGCCCCCTCTAGGCCTTTGTTTCTTCTAAGATTGCTACAGATATTTGGGTTAAGAATCTGAGTCAGTATGTAGTTCCAGGGGTGAGGGGACAAGCAAGTGGCAACTTGATCATGCAGGCTGCCAGGGCCATGAGACAACAGCTGCGGTGGGCTGCTGGGAATGAACCACAAGAGGGCCTGGTACTGTGCAGTACAACCAAGAGACTGTGGCTGCCCCATGTTTGTCTTGGCACTTGTTGCTCTTGTCCACACTGACCTTTACACATGGACAGCCTTGGTGGTTTCAGCCCAGGCAGAGTTCCCAGAGGCAAGCAGGAAAAAGTTCAAACTTGCAATGCATAGGTTGGCAACCTCACCACCCTCCATTTCCCAATGGGGAGATGGTGCCACTCTGTCCCGGGGCCTCCCTCTGCAAAGCAGCTCAGGGGCCAGCCTGATTCCCTGGGGAACAAGGCGCTGCAAGTTGGCACCGGCAACCACCTACCCCATGGCCGAATACAGCGTGCCCCAGATGGGAGCCAGTGTCCAGCGAGGAGGATGCCAGGAGGGTTTCTGCAGGCCGGCATACCAGCGAAGGCCCTCACCGCGCACGAAGTAGGAGCCCATGAAGCCTCCCAGGCTGGGTACCAGGGTGAGGCCCACAGCGGGCACCCAGGATGAAGACATAGCTGCTGCAGCTGCTGTTCTGGAAAGAGCTGAGAGAGAACACAGGCTAGAGTGAGAATCCTAAACATCCATCCGTCACTGCCTTCTCCTCTGGGGTCCTGTCCCCCAGGACCGACCTGTTCCTGGTGGGTGAGGCAGGAGAGCAGAGTCCACACCCTACTCCACTCATGCCCCTGCCTGGAGGTGCCACTGGGGCTCCACCCACCCTTGGGTCCTACCCCTACTGTGGGCACCTATTCATTCCCTTCACCTTTGGTCTCTGCCCCTCTGTTAGGAAGGCTCTCAGCCCTGCTGCACCTCAGGCCAATGTCACTCAGGGGTTCTGGGAGGTCTGTACATTGTTTTGCAGCATGATAGCCCATCATTCATTCATTTATTCATTAATACCCTTGGTGACTGGCAGCTGGCAAAGCTTAGCTTCCTCAAATCCTTTTTTCATGCTCACCTACCATGACCTCAAAGAAGTCACTTCAATCCTCCTGCCTCAGTTTCCACCAATGCAGAACATTGACACTGCCTACTTTAGCGTCCCCTGTGGGCAGCATGGAGTATGGTTATACTCAGGTGTCTACCTCAGAGGTCCACCCGGTGCACCAGAGAGGGAGGGCAGCCTGCCCAGTGTCACCGAGTGCTCGAGGCCAGGCTCTGCCCTGGTCACAAAGTTACGCACACGTGGACACGCAGGAAAAATGGTCAAGACCCTTTGCAGCCAACCTCTGGGCTGAGGTCATGGCCCTGTGAGCTTGAGAATAGGACACCCTAGCTGGTTTGGAAGTCCAGGGCCAGCTCTGCCTCTGCTTGCTATAGGAGTACTAAGCCAGTCAGTGCCCTGGCTCAGTTTCCCCATCCAAAAAGGGAAAAAGGAAAAGGTTTCTAGGCTAGAAGGATGGCCCAGCAGTTAAGAACACTGGCTATTCTTCCAGAGGACTTGGGTTCAAACCCAGCACCCGCATGGCAGCCCACAACTGTCTGTAACTCCAATCCAAGGGGATCTGACAACCTCGCACAGGCATACATGCAGGCAAAACACCAATGCACATAAAAAGAAATAAATCGTTTTTAAAAACTGGTTCCTGCTAACACACGCTGTCAGTAGCTGGAGAATCGGGGTGTGTGTCTGCTTGCATTAGATAGGAGGCTATGCTGGGGAAGTGGCTTTACTGGGTAAATCATTTGCTGTGTGGGTGTGGAAAATGGAGTTTGGATCCCCAGTAATCCATACGAATGCTGGGTGGATGAATTGATCCACCTGTGCTTCCAGCACTGTGGAGGCATAGACGGGATTCCCCAGAGCATGCCAGCTAGATGAGCTGGAATTGGCAACCTCAAGCCTCAGCAAGAGATTCTACATCAGTAAATAAGGGGGACAGCCATTGAGGAAGCTGCCTGATGTCAACCTCTGGCCTCCATACCTGTACACAAGCGTGTGTCACACATGCACACACATGGGCTGGAGAGATGGCCCAGTGGTTAAGAGCACTGTCTGTTCTTCTAAAGGTCCTGAGTTCAATTCCCAGGAACCACATGGTGGCTCATAACCACCTATAATGAGCTCTGGTGCCCTCTTCTAGCGTGCAGGCATACATGCAGAAAGAGTACTGTATAAATAAAAATTTTAAAATGCACGCACACACACATCGGGGGTGGAGGAGAGGATAACCTCCCACATACAAATTTTATGGACTGGAAATGCAGCTCAGTGGTAGGTGGTCAGGCAGCTTCATTAACAAGGCCCTACAGTCTACGGCGTGACAAAAGCTCCCTCACTCTCTGTGGTGGTTTGAATGGGAATGTCCCCCATAGGCTCAGATAGTTGACTATTTGGTTCCTGGTTGGTGGTGCTGTGTGGGGAGGCTTAGGAGGTATGGCCTTGCTGGAGGAGGGTGATCACGGGGAATGAGCCTTGAAAGCCAAATGCCTTGCCTACTTCATGCTCGTGTCTGAAGATGAGAGCTCTTAGCTTCCTGCTCCATCCACTATGCTTGCCTGCTGCCATGGCTACCTGCTATGATGGACTCGCCCCTCTAAACTCTTCCTCCTTCTCCTCCTTCTTTTAAGATTCATTTATTTGGAGGCTGGAGAGATAGTTCAGAGGTTAAGAGCACTGGCTGTTCTTCCAGATGTCCTGAGTTCAATTCCCAGACTTGTCTTTTTTTTTTTTTCTTACTGGTTCTGAGGACACTGAACCTGAGCCTCATTCATACCAGACAATCATTTTGCCACTGAGTTACATGTCCAGCTGTTTTTGTTTGTTTGTTTATTCTGAGACAAGGTCTCACTAAGTGTCCTAGTTAGATTTTCTGTCAACTTGATACAAGCTTGAGTCATCTGGGAGAGATGTCAACTGAGAAAGTGCCTCCATTAGACTGGGTTGTAGTAATTCTGTGGGGCATTCTCCTGCTGTGGGAGAGTCCAGCGCACTGTGGGTGGTGCCATCCCCGGCCAGATGGTGGACATGGGATGTATAAGCAAGCAGGCTGAGCAAGGGAACAGGTACACAGCACCCCTCCATGGCCTCTGCGTCAGTTCCTGCCTCCAGCTTCCTGCTGACTTCCCTCGGTGACAAGGCATAACCTGTAAGCTAAATGAACCCTTTCCTCCACAAGCCGCTTTGGTCGGGGTGCTTTATCTTATCACTGCAATGGAAAGCAAACTAGACTAGTAAAGTACCCAGGCTGGTTTTCAACTCACTCTGTCAAGCTGGGATGACCAGCCTACAGCATCCACTCGTGGTTTAGAGGACATGTTTAATGAGTTGAAAACTGTTTCTGGCATGACCTTTTACATGGGGGAAGGGTGGAGACAGGGTTTCTCTGTGTAGCCCTGGCTGTCCTGGAACTCACTCTGTAGACCAGGCTGGCCTTGAACTCAGAGATCCTCTTGCCTCTGCCTACTGAGTGCTGGGATTAAAGGCAGGTGCCACCACCGCCCAGCTGTTTTCAACTTAACCTTAAGGCAGAACAAAACATTGGTGGGGGTTGGGGGGAGGTGCTCCCAGCACAGACAAGGAGCTCAACAGCATTTTCTTCCATCATTACCAAGTGGCGAATCACAGGTCTCATCCCCCTTGAGAAACATCTGCCCAAGGACTCAGCTCAGGCTTGTGTCACCTCAAGCAAGCCTGGGCCACCTCAGGGGCTGCTCATCTCTGCAATGGGGACATGCCCTGCCTTTCTAATAAATGTCACAGCAGTGTGGAATCCAGGGAGCCAGAGGGAGCCATGTGTATGGTCATGGCTATCCCTGGACCAGCATGGTCAGAGCAAGCAGGAGACCCCATGCCACACCATGAGAAACTGAGGCCCAGAGGCAGACTGGGGGACTGTGCAGTGAGCACCCCGCATATGTTCAGTTTGCCCTCTCACTCTCAGAAGAGCCCCTTCCACAGATGATCAGGATCACACCACTGCTACGGGAGGCATGGCCATCACAGGCCCCTTTGTACACATTTAGTGGTCTTGCCAAACTGCGATCCTGGGCCAGAAGGAACCTCAGGAGGAGTCTCGTACAGAAAGACTGACAGTGCTCAGTGTCCCTTGAATGCATCAGGTCCCAAAGAGTAAAGAAAGATGGAGGGAGAGGATCGTAACTGCAGAAGATGAGTGACGGGAAGCAAGGTGGGCCCACTGGGCCCCGTGTGGAAAGGCAGCAAGTTCTGGAGGTTAAACCTGGCTGAGAAGCTGTATGGGGGAGTAGCTGAGGGGCCTGAGAAGCTGAATGGGGAGGGGTACCTGGGGTCTGAGAAGCTGAATGGGGAGGAGTAGCTGGAGTCTGAGAAACTCTCTAGGGAAAGGAGAGGGGTGGGGCCTGTGGGGGCCGTTTGTTCTGCATCTGTGCATTTGCCAAAGTTTAGACAAGAAACTGCACTGTCCCTTCAAGCAACATAGCACATCCTGTAATCCTCTCAGGCAGGACGATTGTGAGTTCTAGGCCAGCATGGGATACACAGAGACTTTGCCTTAATAAGAAGGGGTGAGGGAGGAAGGAGGAAAGAGCTCACTGTCCCTAACAAGGTCACTGCTCCTTCTGTTGCCAAGTCCCCTTCACAGTATCACTCCCACTCTAAGACCAGAGTGACGCCTGTCAGGGTTTTCTGTTGGTTTTGTTGTTCGTTTTGTTTGTTTACGACAGGAGCCCAGGCTAGCCTGGAGCTTGCTCTATAGCTTTGGCTAGACCAATGCACGAGGCTCCTCCATCAGCCTCCCAGCTCCTAAGTGCTCTAATTACAGGCCCATGCAGCTGCGGCCCAGCTTATAGTGTTGCTTCCTCTCCTTTCTTATTAGGGACACAAAACTACTCATGATGTAGCCCAGACCTGCCTCAAACTGAGAGCAAGCCCTCCTGCCTCAGCCTCCCACGCACTTAGATCACAGGGCAAGCACTGCCGCTGCTGGCAGCATGCTTCATTAACTGAGGTGAAATTAAATTCCCCAAACATAAACAAATTGAAGTCCCAGGAGTCAATGATGTTGGCATGTTCCCAGCCACCAACACCAAGTTCCAAACATGCTCATTTCACACACACACACACACACACACAAAAAAAAAAAAAAAAAAAAAACAGTGCCTGATCAGAGTGGATTCTTGCTCCAACTCAGCCCTGCTCCTCCCCACAACCAGCAAGCCCCTGGGGTCCCTCGGCACCTGCCCTTCTCTTAACATTCCCTAGCAGGCTGGAGCCTGCTGGCTCCCTTCCTGCCAGCCCTGCCTTAGAGGTTTGCCTCCCTTAACTGCCAGGGCAGTACCTCTTCCCTCTCCCCATGACTCTGCAGGCAAAAGTGTTGCTGTTGGGAGGCAGAAGCAGGTGGATCTCTGTGAGTTCAAGGCCAGCCTGGTCTACAGAGTGAGCCCAGGACAGCCAAGGCTACACAGAGAAACCCTGTCACAAAAAAGGACCAAAAAAAAAAAAAAAAAAAGCGCTCCTGTCACAGCACCCAGCACGGGGGGAGGGGGTGGGGCAGGCCCATACTCTGTACCTAGAAAGTCCCCAAGCAGGGCCAAACAGGACATCAAATGTCTCTGTTGATGGGTTTCAGAGTCCGTCAAGTCTCTCATTATACATTTACTAAATAAAAAAGGGTGGTAGCTGTCCCAAGGACACACCATGAGGACAGGATCTAGCGGCAGGACACTGAACCCCAAATTCCAGCTGCCCCGAAAAGGCTAGGCTGTGCTTATGCTCTGCTGCACTGAGGGGATCGGAGGGAGGACCCCTATTCCCATCAAAAGTCACAAAACAGGACAGTCACCAGCCCTACTTGAAACCGCAGGACAGAGTTGGGCCAGGGACCTTCCAGGGGCCTTTTGGGAGACTGCCCAGTTCCTGAGTCACCCACATGGAGGGTTGCTAGACAGGCAGGGGTGGGGCCCACAAAGCTGAGTCACCCTGGGCTAGGCTGAGCTGGGCAGGACTTCAGTTCGAGGTGAAGTCCCAGGATGGTACAGAGGGCAGGGCCAGGATACTCAGAGGGGGCAATGCTGCCTGCCCACCTTGATTTCTGTCTCTTCTAGAAGGCACATAGCATCCAAAGCTTTACCCTGCTACCGGTTTGCTAAGGGTCGTTGGGCTGTCCCAGGAAGGAAGGACAGGACACCAAGATCTCCCTGGAAGACTCCACATAGGCCCGTGGCGATCAGTGTGGGGACCACTTCTGCTTCCTCTAGGGGAGGAAGCGGCTACCTCTTCGCCTCTGGAGAACACCTTGGACAGAGGGAGTAGGACCACACAGAGCAGAACAGGGTGGTAGGCTTTCTCCACTTTCAATACCACAGGACCTCAGGGGGAGGAGCCAAGGGTCACTCATTTGCTAGTGCCGCTTTCCAGGTGAAGAAACTGAGGGTAGAAGGCTGTAGAAGGGTCCAGGTCTGTGTCTCTAACACCCATAATGACACACTCTTGGATACCTCCATCACCACTCCTTGGGATACAGTGACTTGGGCAAAGATCAGGTCCACAGTCTGCCACTACTGTCTTCCCAGTGTCGGAAGGGTGTCTAGCCAACAGCATCACCCTCTCCATACTTGGGGCTATCACTCTGCTCCATGGAGCCTCGGGCCCCATCTCTTCTTAGGACAAGCAGATAGGATGCTTGAGCCCTCCTTCGCAGAGGCTGTAGCGTCTGTACTGCTTCACTTCTGGCTAGACAATCTCACACCTTCTCCTACTCGGGGGTCTCAGTCTGTGAAGCTAGGACGGAGCCTGTGGGCCTGGGACCTCCCGAGAGACTGTGACCCAGAAACAGAAAGGAGCCTGCCTTGCCCTTTTCCTTCCGCTGCATGAAGCTCCTCCCAAATCCTTGAGCTTTTCTTTCGGCTGCGATCCATTGCTGCCCCGGGGCAGTTTAGAACTTTTTGCTCGTAATGAACTTGCAAATCCTCCTTATACCTTTTACCTCTTGCCAGCCTTTCTCATTCTGAAAGTAATCACAGTGCCAGGAACAGGTCGGTTAAGACCGGCAGGAACTGGTAATGAAGAGGTCAAGAGTGTGGGGAAATGGCGTTGCGGAGTGGCAACTCTTTCAAACAAAGCTGGCTTTCAGGAGCCGCGGCTTGCACAACCCCTAACAAGCGGAACACGAACAGAAGAAGCCGAAAAGACCCAGCAGAGAAAGGCTAAAGCACAGAGTAGAAAGTTAGCCTGCTATCTGTCCCCCGCACCTCCCCCGTCCCCCTCAGGTACCCACTGTCAGGAGTTTCTGTAAGGGGGGCGGTCTCAGTCCAGCCCCGGCCAGGCACAGATACACACAGCCGTGCCCGAGTGCACGCAGGAGAGGCGTCCACACCACAAGTGCAGGAGAAGCAGGCTTTGCTCTCAGCCGGCAGGGCCGCGAGCCCCGCCAACTACACTTTGCCTTTGCACAACCTCAGTTCCCCACGGATCCCAACACTCTCCTGCAAGGAAAGCAGGATTCCCAGCAGCCAGAGGATCCCTCCCTTCTCTCCGCCTCTCTCTGTCTCTCCGTGTTTCTCTCTCTGTGTTTCTCTCTCTGTGTTTCTCTCTCTCTCTCTCTCTCTCTCTCTCTCTCTCTCTCTCGGCCCCGCCGGAGGCGCAGGACCCTGGCCGCTGTCCCCAAGGTGCCAACCCCTCTCAACAGCACACTCTCGGGAGGGGTCCCGCCCGCTCGATCCTGGCCTCAGTTTCCCTTTTAGCTCCCCGCTGTCCCGGCCTCACCCGCCAGCAGCCCCACTTACATGGTCGCTGGCTGCTCCGCGAAGGGTACTGCGCACAGAGGTTGGTGGCGGTTGACCCCGCCCCGCCCCGCCCCGCCCTGCGACGCACCCCGAGGCACCCTGGTTCCCCAAGGCCCGCCCTTGGCCAGGCATCCCTCTCTTCTTTCCCTGGATACAGAGGGGAGAGATCCCTGCTCCGAGCATCCCCCGCAGGCCACTGCTCTGCAGACAAGGAATGCCAGGGAATGGTGGCACGTGCTCGTGATCCCACCCCCGGAGGCTGGGACAGGAAGATGACAGTGAGCTCGCTGCCACTCCGGGCTGCGTATTACATTATATTATATTTTTTATATATATTCCAATTTCTTTAATGAGGCACTGGGGATATAGTTCCACGGTGGAGTGCTTTCTTTGCACACAAGGGGCCCTAGAGTTCAATCCCTAGCACTACTCAAAACGAAAGAAAACTAACCACTTTCTGCCGCTTGGCGTAGTAAGGCCCTGAGCGCTATGCTTGGCCACACCCACTTGCTGGCAGCGCTCAGCCTCTTCCAGTGAGTCGATTAGAAGAAACTGGCTGGCGGGCTGGGGAGCTCCACCCATCCGCCTGGTTAAACTTTCTAGGCCCTGAGATTATCACCATGCCCCGCCACACCCGGCGTTTTTACACAGGTTCCGTGAATGAAACTCAGATGGTGGTGTTTACTTGGCGAGCATTTGACGCCCTAAGGCGCCGTCCCAGTCCCGTGCTTCCTCTTCGGGAACCCGGGCGCAGCAGCCGAAGGGGTCTGGTTGTGATGTCTCTCCGCACACCTCTGGAGTCCTGCCAATCCCTGGGGCAATGGCTGTATGTGCCCGGTACAGGCCCATCGTCTTTCAGTATCTCTGTACCCTTCTGGGATATCCTTGTGTCCTTCTGGGTGGGTTTCGTGTCCTGCTGTGTATTTGCCAAGGCTTGAATGCCCCCTGGGGGGAAAATCTCTGGTGGAAGTTTAGTCCCCGTGGTGAGGAATCAAGAGGTGGGGCCGGGTGGGTGAAGAAGCGATTAGGTCCCGAGGAGTCACTGTGGGGCCCCTCCAGTCGTGATCCGTGTGGGAAGAGATGTATCCGTTGTCCTTGAGTGTTATCAAAGCCAGCCAGTGATGCTTCTTTGCTGTGGCCCTCTTGCCAGCTGATGCCCTGCGTCCCTTGTATTCTGCAGAGAGACCCCACCAGCAAAGAGGCCCTTGTCGGATGCAGCTTCTGACCTAGAACTTTCCAACCCTAAGGACTGTACGTGGAATAAACTTCCACTCTATATAAGCGGCCCAGTCTCTGTGGCGTTCAGCGATAGCAACCAAAAATGGACCAAAGCATCTTCTGTCTTAGTGGTTCCATTTTGTCTAGGTTGAGCCAGTCTCCCCTAGAGCTCTTGCCAGAGTGCCTGGAAGTGACCTTACAAACCTGCCCCCCCCCCCCATGGTGGATTGATGCCTCTCTAAGAAGTCCACTGTCCTTCAGAACCCTGAAGGTGTCTCGTGGTCTAGTGGCCTCGTGCCGTATGCAACTGTACAGGTCACTGATCCACTCAGCTGTTGATGCCACCTTGTGCAGCCTTTGGATGAAGTCTATCTGGTTCCTCCTGGAAAAGTTTAACTTTAGGCTGCAAACTTTTGAAATTTTACCAGTACAACCTTCGATGTGAATTTAAGATTAGACCATTGAGCCAGCAGCTCTCAAAGGGCCTGCTCTCTCTCTCTCTCTCTCTCTCTCTCTCTCTCTCTCATGTGAATGGTATCTCTTGCCACATGTACGTGTGTGCATCATGTCTGTGCCTGGTACCCACAGAGGCCAGAAGGTCAGAAGATGGCATTGGACATCCTAGGACTGAAGTTAAGAGATGGCTGTGAGAATTGAACCCAGGTCCTCTGGAAGAGCAGCCAGTGCTCTTAACCTGTGAGTCATCTCTCCAGCACCCCCCCCCCTTCTTGTTTTGTTTTGTTTTTCGAGACAGGGTTTCTCTGTGTAGCCTTGGCTGTCCTGGACTCCAGTTTGTATACCAGGCTGGCCTCAAACCCACAGAGATCTGGCTGCCTCTGCCCCACTGAGTGCTGGGATTACAGGTGTGTGTCACCAAGCCCAGCCCAGCCCTCATTTTTTAAAATATTTATTTATCATTTATACAGTTTTCTGCCTGCATGCCAGAAGAAGGTACTAGAGTTCATTATAGATGGTTATGAGCCACCATGTGGTTGCTGGGAATTGAACTCAGGATCTTTGGAAGAACAGGTCAGTGTTCTTAACCTCTAATCCATGTCTCCAGCCCTCATTTTTTTAATCTTTGCTTTGGAGCGTCCTGTGCAATCCAGGCAGGCCTTGAACTCATGATCCTCTCAAGTGATTGGGGCTACAGGTGTGCACCACCATGCCTGGTTTCAACACCCCTATCAGTGTGGAAAGACCTGTTCGTTACCTTTCAAAATTGAATTGCCTTTTTATTTTTTTAACTGATTCCTGTCCTCTGTTTCCTCACTTCTCTTTCTGGAATGCCTGTCACTCAGAGCCCTGGACTTCCTGTGCTGATCTTCTCACTTTCTGTTCTTGCTTAGTTCTTATGTTTCACCTTTTTATTTCCCTCCCTTCCCCAGTGGTTTCTTTTGGACTTCACTGAATGTTTCAGTTCTGCTTTGCTGTTTGTTTTCTGTTCACACTATTATATTATTTCTAGCTTATACGTGTGCTGTCCTACCTTCTATAGAAGTCAATGATCATTTATAAAATTTTTTACATTTATTTTTTTTATATATGAAGTCAGTTTGCCAAACTCGGTTCTCTCCTTGCATCATGTGGGTTCCGGGGACCCAATTCAGGTTTTCAGGCTCTGCAGCAAGTACCCTCACACACAGAGCCATCTCGCTGGCCATAAAGTTAATATTTAAAAGCAACAGTTTTCTTCTTTCCTTGGTTTCCAAATTCTATATGTTGGCTTTCTTTTCTGTCCATAAGAGGCTTTCCTCAGATGCATGGGAACCTTGGGTTCAATACCCTCTTCTGGACTCCACGACCTTCCACGCACACATACACACACTGGTAATTAAAAAGTAAAAATAGCCATGTGTGAAGGCACACACCCTTAATCCCAGAACTCAGGAGGCAGAGGCAGGCAGATCTCTATGATTTGGGTGTCTTCTCACAATAAAAGAAACGAACAAATTCTGGGTGTCAGGAGACAGAGGCAGGCTGAAGATCTCTGAGTTTAAGGCCAGCCTGGTCTACAAAGCCAGTTCCAGGACAGCCAGGGCTACACAGAGAAACCCTGTCTTGAAAAGGCCAGAAGAAGAAGAAGAGAAGATGATGAAGAGAAAAGAAAAAGAAGGAGAAGAAATGAACAAAATAAGCCTGTTAGTGACAGCTCAGTAGTTTAGGCTCACTGTTTCTGGAATGTCAATGACTTCAGGGTTTTCCTTTTGGAATAGTTAGCATCTGCCAGCCTCTCCAGTTCCTTACTTGGAGGATAAGGGACTGACTTTAAGGTTCTGGGAGTTCACTACAGCAAAGCGCTGGAGTGATTCACTAAGTCAGCCTGTTCCAGAGGAACCCCGGAATTCATGCCCCCATCCTTTCATTGACCTTTTCCAGACTGAAGCTCAGATGGTTCTGGGAACAAGGGCCAGTGGCTGGGGAGAAGTAAAGGTTCTAGGATCTAACCATTTCTCAAGGATATTCTCAAATAGGTCTTTGAGATTTCTTTCTTCTGCTTCTAGAAGCAGCTGCTACTGAGCATGGCTAAACTTGAGGATGCTGTGGAAGGAACAAGTCCTGTTTTTTTGTTTGTTTGTTTGTTTGGTTGGTTGGTTGGTTTGGTTTGATTTTTTGAGACAAGGTCTCTCTGTGTAGCCCTGGCTGCCCTGGAACTTGTTCTGTAGACCAGGCTGACCTTAAACTCAGAAATCCACCTGCATGCCTCTGGAATCAAAGGTGTGAGCCACGTGAGCCACTACCTGGGAGACCTGTTCTTCAGCTTTCTCCTTGTCTAGAGAGAGTCCAGGGTCAGCCAGGAGAGGAAACACAGCTTATCCTCTTTTCATTTTCTAGACATCCAGTTACTGGGGTTTCTATCTTCTTTATTTCTATGGAATTTATATCTTTCTTGTTTGTGTTTGCAGTTTTTTGTTTGTTTGGTTTTTTTGTTGTTGTTGTGGTTTTTTTTTTTTTTTTTTTTTTGAGACAGGGTTTTTTTTTTTAACTGCCCTGTTGTTCTTAAATTTTTTTTTTTTTTTTTTTTTCTGAGACAGGGCTTTTCTCTGTAACAGCCCTGGCGTCCTGAAACTCAGTTTGTAGATCAGGCTGGCCTTGAACTCACAAAGATCCACCTGCCTCTGGCTAGAGAAAGATGATTCCTCAATTAAGAGTACATATTGCTTTTGCAGAGGACCTGGGTTTCATTCTCAGCACCCACATCAAGTGGCTCAAAACCACCTGTAACTTCAGATTCAGAGGATTCAACACCCTCTTCTGGACTCCACGACCTCCCACACACACATACACTGGTAATTAAAAATTAAAAATAGCCATGTATGAAGGCACACACCCTTAATCCCAGAACTCAGGAGGCAGAGGCAGGCAGATCTCTATGATTTGGAGGCCAACTTAGTCTACATTGTGAGATCCAGGCTGGGTATATAGTGAGGTTATCTATCTGTCTATCTATCTATCTATCTCATACACACACAGGAAAACATAAAATAAAATTCTTATATTAAACCTTAATCCCCAGGGTGAAGGTATTTAGAGGTAGGACCCTAGAGAGTCAGAGTGATTAGATCATGAGGTAGAATCTTCATGAATTAGATTGGATTAATACCCTTATAAGAAGATGGACCCCATCTATCATGTGAGATATGAAAAGCTTGCCATCTGCAGTCCAGGAAACAGACTCTTCCTAGACACTGGATCTGCAAGTCTTGCTTGACCTTGGACTTTTCAGCCTCAAGAACCCTGAGATATAATTTCTATTACTTAGGTTTTTAAGTCTATGGCATTTGTATGCCAGCTAGAGCACACTGGGACATACCGCCACATAAAAAAGTGCTGTGTGTGTGTGTGTGTGTGTGTGTGTGTGTGTGTGTGTGTGTTCTGGGTGCCTTAGCAGAGATTGGTAGGAAATGAAAACAAATCAGAGTTCTGCAAATGTGATTCAGGGATGAGGTCAGGGTCAGTCTGACCCATACTTGAAAGAACTTTCAGAGGCCGCAAAAGCACAGCTTCCAGGTCCTGCTCTGTCACTAATCGTGCATCAGGGTTTCTCCGTGTAGCCCTGGCTGTCCTGGAACTTCCTCAGCAGACCAGGCTGGCCTTGAACTCAGAGATCTCCCTGCCTTTGCCTCTAGAGTGCTGGTATTAAAAGCATGCACCAACACTGCTTGGCTGTGAATAGAAGAATTCAATTTTTATTTATTTATGTTTGTTTATGTACATTGGTGTTTTGCCTGCATGTGTGTCTGTATGAGGGTATCAGATCCCCACGAACAGAAGTTACAGACAGTTGTGAGCTGCCATCTGGGTGCTGGATATTGAACCCGGATCCTCTGGAAGAGCAGCCAGTGCTCTTAACTGCGGAGCCATCTCTCCAGGCCCTAAATTTGAAAAATTTCAAAAAGTGAGCCTGACTTGGGTCAGATTCTGGACTTGGTTTGATGGCACGGAGATTTATTGGCTTCTTATTATGAGCTGGGCACCCAGTTGTGTTTTGTAGGCAGCGAGAGAACTGCTTGCTTGTAGTACGGTTGGCAAAATAACTGGCAGAAAAGAAAAGAGGAAAAGGGAAAGGAAAGGGAAGGGAAAGGGGAGGAGAGGGAAGAGGAGGGAAGGAATAGGGGAGGGGAGGGAAGGAAAGGAAAGGCTGTGCAGGGTCTCGCAGTACTCTTTCACGTTCCCCTGGGCAGCGTTGCACAGTTTGCCTATTGAAGGCTCACTGTGGAATGGGGTCTGTGGTTCCTGGCTGTAAAGGTTTAAGAAAGCTCACACACCACTTCAGGACCACACTCTGGGGTGGATCTGTAACATAGGAACTTTTTTTCCAGCTACCTACGCGACCCGACAGGAAATTGGCGGAGGACCGCTCCGCTGCGCAGCCGCAGTGCGCTTCAGCCGCCGCGCTAACGAACACCGGCTTTGCCTCTCACTATGGTTGCTCGGATAGCTCGGTCCGGGTGGTCATGGGGCTCTTGGGGCCGCCGCGCCGCCTCGACCCTCCGGGAGCCGCCGCCGGACGCCGTGGACGTGGCGGAGCTGCTGCGGGATGCCAGCACGGCCGAGCAGGGAGCCCCGGAGGCGGTGGCGCGGCGGCCGCCCGCGCGCTGCTCCGTGCTGCTCTTTCCGGGCCAGGGCTGCCAGGCGGTCGGCATGGGTGGCGGCCTGCTCCGCTTCCCGCGCGTGCGCCAGCTCTACGAGGCTGCACACCAGGTGTTGGGCTACGACCTGCTGGAGCTGTGTCTCCACGGGCCTCAGGAGGACCTGGACCGCACGGTGCATTGCCAGCCCGCCGTCTTCGTGGCCTCGCTGGCCGCCGTGGAGAAGCTACATCACCAGCAGCCGGCGGTGAGCCGAGGAGAGAGCACCGGACCCGCCTGCTGGGTCTCGGGATCCTCAGTCTGGTTCTTATTGGCCCCCATTCTGCCCCTCAGTTCACACCTAATGCACCGAGCTAACATAGTACGTTAAAGATAAATGTATTGGGCTGAGAGATGGCTCAGAAGTTAAGAGAACCCGGGTTCGGTGCCTAGCCCCACGTGGTGGTTCGCAACCGTTCATAACGCCACTCCCATGGGATCCCACACAATTTTATGGCTTCTGCGGGTATCAGAAGCCACCACGTGCACATAACACACAAGCGGACAAAACATTCATACACATAAATCTTTTTATTTTTTCCCCAAGACAGGATTTCTCTGTGTAACAGTCGTGGCTACCCTGCAACTTGCTTTGTAGACCAGGCTGGCCTCAAACTCAAAGTTTTCCTCTCCTTCCTGAGTACTGGGACTAAAGGCATACACCACCACACCTGGCCATACACATAAATCTTTTTTTGTTTTGTTTTTGAGGGGCTGGAGAGATGGCTTAGTAGTTAAGAGCACTGGCTACTCTTCCACAGGACCCTGGTTCAAGTGCCAGCACCCACACGGCACCTCACAACTGTCTGTAACTCCATTTCCAGGAGATCTGGCACCCTCGCACAGTACATGTAAGCAAATCACCAATGCACATAAAAATTGATTAAAATATTTTTAAAGATGTGTGTCAGAGAAGGAAGTACACACTGGGGTAAGGGCATGTGATTTTAGGTGAGCTTGAGTTAGAGTAACTCTTAAATGTTTTAAGGATCTGTTTTATATGTGGATGTTTCACAGGCATGTCTGTGCACCACATGTGTGTCTGGTGGCCTCAGGGGCCACAGGAGGACATTGGATCCTCTGGACTTGAAGTTGGAGACAGTTTGTACCTATCCTGTGGGTGCTGGGAATCAAGCCTGGGTTCTCTGGAAGAGCAGCCATGGCTCTTAACTGCTGAACCAGCTTATCTCTCTAGCCCTTTAAAAATGTTTTTAAAAGATGACTTCGGTAAATGAAAGGGACTAAGAAGATGACTTGAGGGCTCCAGAGATGGCTTGACCTTTAGGATTGTTTGCTGCTCTTTTAGAAGTCAGTTTCAGTCCGCAGGACCCTGGCTCACAAATGCCTGTAATTCGAGCTCCAAGGGATCCTTTGCCCTCTTCTGGCTTCCATTGGCAAGCACACACCAACACAAATACAATCTTAAAAGAAAAAAAAAGTTAACAGAAGGTGCCAGGCTTAGAGGTGAACACCTTTAATCTCAACACTCAGGAGGCAGAGCAGGCATATCTGTCTGAGTTCCACAGTCAGTAGCAGATACTAAGAGCACGTGATTTCACTTGCTGTTAAAATAGAATAGTTCCTGGACAATACATGTTAACTGGTGCTGATCGTGGGAAGGTAAACTGTGAATGTAGCTGTGTTAGCATTGAATTTATAACCCTTTCAGTTCAGCCTCCCCCAGTACTGTGTTTACAGTCATGAGTGGCCATAGGCAGTGTGCATGTAACTTGTGTACCTCACATGCCCAAGAAGCCACTCTGGGCAGAGGCAAGAGGATCCAGAACTCAGGCCCGTGGTGTGGCTAGGTTCAACTTTAGCCTGCCTTGCTAGGGAAGGTCCTCATCAGTAAAAGGGAGTATGAGGCCTGTAGAATCAGTTCAAGATGACGCTTAACTGCCCTGCCAATTCCAGGGTGCACATCCCAGGACTGAGTTCTTCCTGAGGACTCAGCCTCATGCTCCGCTCTGTCTCCGCAGGTCATCGAGAACTGTGTTGCTGCAGCTGGATTCAGCGTGGGAGAGTTTGCAGCCCTCGTGTTTGCTGGAGCCATGGAGTTCTCTGAAGGTACACAAAGGAGTGTGACTTATGCAGGTTGTGTTCTTGCTGGGCTCAGTGGGGACAGGGGGCTCTGTGGACAGTGGTGCTGGACCCACTCCCACTCCAAGGTTGTCGGGAAGGGAGCACAGGCCACAGGTGACACTGGAGCTCAAGGACCAGATTCCACTAATCCACTTTGAAGTCTGAAGGGGTCAATGCAGGTTTTCTTTCCATGCGTAATCTCATGAGGTCTGTTCCTTTGGCTGCCTTCCTCCACTGCCTCCTGCATTCTTTTTTTACTTACATGAAATAAAATTGTGTGTGCACATGTATGCATGTGCCTCAGTGTATGTGAGGATGTCAGGACAGTTTTTAGGATTTAGTCTATCCTTCCTTCCAGCGTATGGATTTCCAGGATTGAAATTAGATTGTTAGGTTTGGCCCTAGTTATCTCTAACCACTGAACCCTGTTGCTGGCCCTCTTTTGTAGTCTTTTATTTTTGTTTATTTGCTTATTTATTTTTAGTTGAGGTTTTTGTTTGTTTGTTTGTTTGTTTTGAGACAGTTTCTCTGTGCGGCCTTGGCTGTTCTGGATGAACTCTATAGATGCCTCTGCCTCCCAAGTGCTGGGATTAAAGGTGTGCCCCACTGCCTCCCAGCCCTCTGCAGTCTTAAGGCATTCACATTCTGTGCCTGTCACACTTGGAAGATGCTCATAAGGGTTATGGTGAAAAGAGTAAATGAATACTTTGAATATTATTGAATAATAATACTTTGTGAAAGCCACTTTCAACACCCAGCATGAGTGCAGGGAACTGAATTTGGGTCCTGTATAAGAGCAGTTAGTACTCTTAACTGATGAGCCATCTCTCCAGCCCTGTCTCCTAAGGTATGTGTTGCTGAAGCTGGGCGCTGGTGCATCTGCTTGTAGTCTCAACTCCTCAGGAGGCTGTGGTAAGAAGATGGCGTGAGCTGAGCTTGGGGCTTGTGCCCTTAATCTCAGCACTTGGAGAATGAGAAAGAGGCAGGTGGGTCTATGTGAGTTCAAGGCCAGCCTGGCCCACATAGCATGTTCTAGATCTACCAGGGCTACATAGTGAGACCCTTTCTCAAGGGGGGAGGATATTTGAGTTCAAGTCTAGCCTAGGTAAAATTATGTGTGAGAGAGAGTATGTGGGGTGGGGGGAGGCAGAAATAGATACACAGAGAGAGAACGCACACAAGTGCCTGCTTGACTGGTTGGTCCGTTGGTTTAAAGTCTGATGTATGGTTCAATACAAAGGAGAGACTTGAACGCACATTTCTAGAGAGTCGAGACAACGACAGTAGGGAAATGAATGACAGCCCATATGAACTGCACTTCATACCCTGTGGGAGATGAAGATTGAGGGTGTCTAGAAATCAGCCCAGGTTCCTGTTTCTGGGAATGTAAATAGGAGAGCCACTGTGTAGTTAAACTGTAATATGATGTGTCCACAAGACATGAATCCAGTGGCAGATTAGAGCCTACTGGTGTTGAAGGAAGAAGAAATGGGAATGAGGTCTTCTTGAGTGAGAGACACTGGGCATTGAACCTATGGCCTCAAGCATGGTAGGCAAACACTCTGCCCCTGAGCTGCATCTCCACTCCAGTGCTGTTTTTAAAGCATATTACTATCATGGAAGGGATAGCAGTGTTTCCATGTCCTGCTGAAAGTACTACCTTTGTAGTTTTGTGTGCAGTTTGCATTCACAGGTGTGTGCTAAATGTCTTCCTGTGGCATGTGTCATAATCACTTACCACTCACATGGAGATGTCCACACATACCCTCTCTCTACCTTGCAGTGTGTTTTCTCCTGCTTCCTGTCACAGTTCTACATGTGTGAGTGAGTGGTGTGTACAGAGGAAAGTATGAGCCTGGCCCCTTGGTTCTCTGTCTCCTTCAAGCCCCAGGCAGTGCCTGTGTCTCTCCTTGTTCCTGTCAGCCTATCCTGCCCAAGGAACAGACACTGGGGAGGACAGGAGTACTGCCATGGCCCTTCCCCTTGTCTCAGTCTTGAAGCTGCCTGCCTGGGTGCAGCCTTGTCATCACTCTTCACCTGAGCCCATTTCTACCCTCCTGCTATGGCAGTGTTGGAGTCTCATGCTTTGCGTGCATTGCTCCTGCCCAGTTTATGACAGTCTGTTTTATGGAGTCTGTGTACTTGTATGTAGTTTTACAGCCACCTGTGTGTCTGGTGGTCTTTATTGTTCCTTTTCAGTCTCTCCCAAATAACAACTCCCATTTTCTGTAACAGCCCAGGCAGAGTGGATGCCACTGTCTGGATTACTAGCTAAAAGTTGAACCTGAGGATGTGGCTCCAAGTCCAATTCTCTGCTCCCCTGGACTCCAAAGCAGCCACACTGGTATTTGGGACCAGGAGACTATTGTTTTAGGGGTTTTTCTGAACATTGTAGGGATCTCCTTATAGCATCTGGTCTCTGCCCTTCACTGTCAACAGAATTTCTCACAGTTGTTACAACCAAAAAGAGTCTTCAGTCCTGCCCTAGGCAGGAAGCTCCTTGAGTTAAAGATTTATCTATACGTGTCTGTGTGTATTTGCATGAGTTTGCACCGTGTGTGCAGTCGTAGGGCCCTAGATTCCCTGGAACTGGAGTTGCAGGCAGTTGTGAGAGAGCACGTGTGGGGAATGGGACCAGAACCCCAGTCCTCTGCGAGAATACAAGCACCCTTAATGCCGAGGCAGTTTTCCAGCCCAAGTTAATATAGTCGTCATCCTGCTTTTCACTTTTTGTTCCTAATTCCCTCTTCCTGCCCACTTCTCTCTGTGGCTGTGTGCACACGTGTGGGTGCAGGTCCGCAGACCTGTGTGCACTAACAGACCTAGAGAAGAACACCACGTGCCTTAGCCCTCATTCCGCTGAGACACGTTCTCGCCCTGAACCTGCAACAGGCCTTCCTCTGCCCACCCTCCACTCTGCGGGGTTGTAGACTACAGCCACACGTGGCTTTCCATGCGAGCTCAGGTCGATCCTGTGCAGTGCATGTTCTTCTGTGCTGGATGTGACCTCTCAGCACAGCAGAGAAAGAGAACTAGAACTGTGTCCCTGGCACTGGCAGTCAGCACCACTGTCAAGTTTCCCTTGATGATGGCTCAACCTCCACTTCACATGAGACTTCCAAACGCACTTCTATCTGGACAGGTCTGTATGCAGTGAAGGTCCGAGCTGAAGCCATGCAAGAAGCATCTGAAGCTGTTCCCAGTGGGATGCTGTCAGTCCTCGGCCAGCGTCAGTCCAACTTCTCCTTTGCCTGCATGGAAGCCCGGGAGCACTGCAAATCTTTGGGCATAGAGAACCCGGTGTGCCAGGTGTCCAACTACCTCTTTCCTGACTGCAGGGTCATCTCAGGACACCTTGAGGTTAGTGTTGATGGGAGCCCCCCTCACAGGCTCCAGTCCATTGTGCAGTCTGCACACCTGTGAGGTCCCAGTGGAAGAGTGGGCTCCTTACTGAGCATGGTCTGGAGAAAACGTCTGAGGGCTGACGGCGTGTGTGGCAGAGTGAGTGCAGTAGAGGGAAGCAAAAGCCAGGATGTTGCCTGTTCCTCTGCAGACAGGGAATTTCTGAACCAGTCACCTGGCTCATGGGTGAGGTCAAAGAGCCAGGCCACTCCATGTCCAGGGCTTTCCGTGCTATATTCTGGCTTCTTAAGAGCATGCAGTCTGGCTGCTTGCTTTGAGGGAGGAACTGTTTTCGATGGTTTGGCCTGGCTTTTTTTTTTTTTTTTTTTTTTTTGCCTAGCTTCTTAAGCATCTGATCTTGCTCTGGAGTGCTCAGTCCTCTCCTCCAAGTGTCACTTATCAGGATCTTCTGTGTACTAGCACTAGGGACACAGACCCATTAGAGTTCCTGTTGTGAAAGGAGGAGCAGTGTGACAAGGCCACACCAGTCCAGGAACACAGTAAGGGGCAGATCAAGGGTTAAGGGCCTGAGTGGAGGGGCGGGAGCCCTGTGGAAGTGGCAGCTGAGGACCTAGTGTTACCTTGAGGTGCCAAGAAAGCACAGCCAGAAGCCATGTAAGGGCGAGTTGTCATGTGTCTTAGCTCCCTCACTGCCAGTCCGCCACCTAGGCATCTTTAACCCATTTCACACAAAAGGGAGTGGAGATGGAGAACAAAAGCCAGAAGTGTGAGAGTCTTTCTGTGTAGCCTGTGCTACTGTCCCTGTGGTCACAGCCTATGCTCACAGTCACTCTACCTCAAGCATTTGCCACTGAAGGCTAAATTTGAAGTCCAGCAGCTGGGCTGAAAGCACATACCTGTAAACCCAGCATTTGGGAGGTGAAAACAAAAGGATTTGGCATTCAAGGACAGCTTTGGCTACTTAATAAGTTTAAGGCTGGCCTGGACTACCTACAACCTTGTCTCAAAAACAACAGCATATAATCTGGTGTGGTGGTGAACATCTTTAGTCTCAGTACTTGGGAGATAGAGGCAGGAGGATCCCTATGAGTTCAAGGACAGTCTGGTCTACATAGTTTCAGGCCAGCCAGAACTACATGGTGAGACCTTATCTCAAAAACAAACAAAACTGTACACACACAGTTCTTTGTCAGTGGTTCCCTCGCTTGGCCAGTCATTTTGTCCCCACTGTTTGTGTCCCCTTTGCAGGTGTAGTCAAATGCCACCTCTACACCTGTGACCACCATAGCCCCTTGGTGACTAACTTGACAAGGTCGAGGGTCACCGTACTCACCCCATGAATAGTGTAGAAAGTGGCTCAGGAGGCTCCAGGCAGGCAGAACTCTGTTCCATCACATCCAGTCTGCATACTACACTTGGGGGACCCTGGCTAAGAAGCCAAGGACTACTCAGGTGGCCTTGGTAGTGCTACCCCAAAAAGCCCAGGTGGAGGCTGGCGTTCCACCGAGCATGGAGCCCCATTTCCATCAACTGCTATGGAAAAGCTCCTTGGCCTTTGGCATTATGTAGAACTAGGGCTTTATAGAGGAGCCTTCTGGATCTAGAGACTGGCCTTGCTGCCAGGGCTCTGCCATTGATTAGCCCAGAACCCTCCCTGAGAAGCACTTGGGGACCACATGCCGTAGGAAGTGTCACCGAGCAGCTGTGCATGAGGTCAAATTCATGCCTGGTGGGAAGGTTGTTGTTCCAGAGTCAGGGAGTCTCCCAGTCCTGAGGTGTGTCCTCAGTGGGTGTAGAAGCACCGGGGTGAAAAGGGACTGGAAACAGAACTCTGACCTCTCATGGCATAGAGCACACAGCTGCCCTGCCAGGCTCTGTGGCTTGGATCCTCACCCTGTGGCTGACTGCTGGACTAAAGACAAGAAGGAGGTTGGTGTTCAGTGGTTAGAATGGTCCCATTACCATGCCCGGGTGAGCAGTGTACATTTGTCAGGTGATAGGGTTTAGAGGGACAAGCAGCCAAAAGCAGCACCTCTTAAACTCTGAAGGATAGGTGGCTTCGGTGTCATTACAGTGGGTGGTGTGGTGTGAGAGCCTCAGGATCTCTGACCTGATCGTCGACCCTCTGTGCCAAGCACAGCTCTCACCATAGCCTGTGAGTGACTGTTTTCACATTCATAGATGAGGAAACTGAGGCACAGAGGTAAAGTCAGGGGCCGTCCTGACTGCCTCTGAACAGGCTTGGGATGCTGTTGGGAACTGGGCCCGAAGAGTGGGTAGTCCTCCTGTCAGAAAGCCGCTTGGTAGGCCCAGCTGTGTCCCAGGGCCACAGAAGGACATCCCCTGTTGAAACATCTTTGCAGACTCTGTGGTTGGCCCCTGAGGGGCTTTAAGCTTTAAACTGAGGGGCTCTCAAGCAAGGCTTTTGGCTGATAGGAAGTCTTCTTTTCTTCTGTGGAGAGCCTCAAAGCAGACACCAGTACCTGGGACCCTAAGGACAAGGATCTGGTGAAATGGGCTTGGGTCTTCCTGTGAGGGCCTGTCCTGCAGGCAGTATAGAGAGGGGCGTGGGCTTGGAGCAGGCAAACAAACAGAATACTTCCTCTGAGTTGTGTGCATGTCCATGTGTCTAGATGTGGGTATAGGCATTTGGAAGCCAGAGACGGTGATGGATCCCCTGAAGCTGGAGTTGCCAGACATGGGTGTTCAGAACCGAATTCAGGTCCTTTGCAAGAGTGCTGTGTACTCTTAGCTGATAAGCTATCACTCCAGCCCATCTCTGCATCATAGTTGAATGCCACTGTCCAGCAGCCGTGTGGAGCCAATGAACTTGTGCCTTTTCAGGGGTGATGAGGAGGGTGAGAGCCACCACACTGGCCAGTTGGAGGCCAAAACAGACTATATTTCTACTCATATATGGCCACTGCTCAGCTGGGGCAGGGGAGCATGAGTCCCTACAAAGAGACCGCCAGGGGACTGGAGAGATGACAGTGCAGAGGTAGGAGCACGTGTGTTTGCAGGAGCCGCACGTTCGGTTTTCAGAACCATATGGTTTACAAGCATCCTAACTCCGGGTCTAGGGAATCCAGTGCCCTCTTCTGTTGTCCTTGGGCACCAGGTGTGCATGTAACTCACGGGCAGGTAAACACTCATGCACATAAAATAAGGAAAGCTAAAAAAAGAAAGAAGAGACAGACTGTGGGACACTGACTGTACAACCAGCTTAACTAGAATTGAAAGAGTGAACTCAGATTAGAGCTGAAGGACTTGTGGGCCACATGTGGTGATTCACACTTTGTAATCCCAGCACTCGGGAAGCTGAGACAGGAGGATTGTGAGTACAAAGCTAGCCTGGGCTTTGTACCATGGCCTTGTCTCAAAAGGCCAAGGGCTGAGGATGGAACTCAGTAGAAGTCTTGCTTTGCATACACAGACCCCTGGGTTCCATCTCAGTGACACACACGCATACTCACATGTACACACAGACCCATGGGTTCTGTCCCAGTGACATACACACATAGCTGTGCATAGCACGAGGATACCAGCAACAGCTGGAACCTTTGCTTCAGAGAGATTCCTCTTGTTTTTCCCTCCAGGCCCTGCAGTTTCTCCGGAAGAATTCTGCTAAGTATTACTTCAGGCGCACCAAGATGCTGCCGGTGAGTGGAGGCTTCCATACCTGCCTCATGGAGCCAGCCGTGGAACCCCTGGTGAAAATTCTAGGCACGATTGACATAAAAAAGCCACTGGTTTCTGTCCATGCCAATGTCAGTGGGCATAAATACATGCATCCCGAACACATCCGGAAGCTGTTGGGGCAGCAGGTGGTGTCTCCAGTGAAGTGGGAACAGACGATGCATGCTATCTATGAGCGGAAGAAGGGCACGGAGTTCCCTAGCACCTTTGAGGTGGGCCCCGGGCGGCAGCTGGGAAGCATCCTGAAGAACTGCAACAGGCAGGCCTGGAAGTCCTACAACCACGTGGATGTGATGCAGAGCAGCACAGACCCTGACCACTCGGAGCTTGGGTGGAATGGCCCCCAGGTGTGAGCCCCTGTGCCTGCCTCTTTTCCTCAGACTCAACACTGGTCACTGCCATGTTGGCTGTGGCTAAGGCTTCCCTCAGGGCATAGCCCTTGAGTGCCAGTGTTGTGACTGAGCCCATCTTCCACCTGAGAAGATACCCGGCTGCTGGGGAAAGAGTTCCTGAGCAGACTGTCTGCCCAGCCAGCACGCTGCTCCGCCTCTGCACCCAACCGTGCCTCTCAGTGACGACAGGGATGGCTAGCCTGGAGCAGCCTTACACCTGCCCCGTGGGTGCTGTGGACACATGGCTTAGCTTCTCGCCAGGCCTGTTGCAGCACCTATGACATGCTCACCCTGGGCCAAGACCTTAGTTCCTTTGGCCTTGAGTCTGTTTGGTGTCTTTGGCAGCCACTTTGTCCTCTCCTCACTTTACAGTGGGGCGATTGAGTCTCCTATGCCGAACATATCCAAGAAGCACATATTATGTGCCTGCTGTATGCCCTATACTGCGTGGTCCCTTGTAGAAAAACTTGGAGCTCAGTGTAAGGTGTGGTATTGTGTCTGGGCAGGAAGGCTGCCTGAGGCCCCTGACCTCCCTAGGCCAGCCCCAGTTCATCTACACTGACTCCCACCACCACCAAGTTGTCCATGGGACAGTGGTCACTGTGTTCTCAGCTGCGTCTATGGCTTCCCTGGGAGCGCAGCCTGCTCCACAGCTGGAGAGGAGTAAGGCTTCTGGGGAGACACATAATAAACGTGAGCCATTCTAAGCTGCCCGGCTGGCTTTCTCCTTCAGGGACAAGGACGAGTCTTGGGAACGAAGCCCATGAACCTGTTTGTTGTTGGGAGGCCTTTGCCAAGCTGGATAGTGTTCAGCAGGGGTGTCAGCCTCTGGACAGGACCTGTCCTACACCCAACTGCTCCATTCTTGTGCAGCTGTCCTTGGTCCTGGCTGTGGTATTTACAGGCCTTGTGACCTCCAGATTGCACTGCTCTGAGTGAATACCTCTGCCCAGCTGAGGCTTTAGCTCCTCAGCTTGAGGCTTGGCCCCAAGCAGGCAGTGAAAATGAGGATTCTGGAAAGTTGTCGGCACTTGCCTACAGAGGACTGGCTCCTCCTGTGGTCACCTCCATGGGCCCTGGGTCTGGAGCACCTGCGCCCGTCTGTGGATCAGGCTCTGCCTTCTCAGAAGCTTGGGCTTGCCTCTCCTGAGCCCAACATGACGTCAGCTTGTCTTGTAGACCTGAACCATGGCATCTCATGACAGCACACAGCAAGGTGGTCAGTCCATCCGTATGGTCACGTTGACAGGGCCCAGACACTCCCACAGCCTTATCACCTGAGGGGAGTTGCCCCACTGTCCCAGAACCTCCATCCCAGCCGCGCCCCAAGTCAGCTGAAGCTTCTGTGACAAATGTGACAAGTCTTTGTCCCCAGTCTTGAGCAGTACGGAGCAACCGTAGTGCTGCTGTTAACGAGGGCTGGTCTCACGGAAGACTAGCAACCTGGTTAAGCAGCTTGCTGTGGGCTCTGGTGTTTAGTTCTGTGCCCAAAGCAGGTGGCGACCCTATGAGGCCTGGGGCAGCTGTGAGAGGATGGGAGGTAACACCTCCTGGGCTGATGCCAGTTCTGATAGCCAAGGAAAGAGCCCAGAGAAGCTGGCTCCGACCTGCACCCTGAGAAGGGAGTGCCTGGTGCTCTAAGTACGCTCTCAGGGTCCCACTGCCTGGAATGAGGGGCACAGCTGCCTTGCTGAAGAGAGGGCCTAGAGCCTGTGGCCAAGTGGGTAGGAGGCTCGCAGGGCTGATGGTGGTTCTGTGGGAAACAGGTGGGCCACAGGCACTGAGTGACAGCTACCCTTGCCCAGGGCCACGAAGACCCTTTCCTCCCATCTCTAGAGCAGAGCCTGTTGCCACCATCTCCCCAGCCCCCTGGAGGACTCACAGCCACAGTGAGTTAGCTCCTGTCCCAGGGAATGAGCCAGCTCTGGTGGCCAACCTGGATCAGCCAACCCTGGTCACAGCCCTTCAGGCTGAGGTCTCACCAGTCTCCTGACCCTTGCTCTTGATGCCAGGTTGCCCCATCTCTAAAACTGGCTCTTCTCAGGAAATCATTTGCTTCATGGTCCCATCCTGGGAAGAGACACCGGGGCTACCAGGTAAGGCCAAGGTAGAAAAGGGAGCACAAGACCGGGACTCAACAAAGCTTAACCCAGAACTGGTAAGTATGGGACAATTTAAGGCCACACAATGAGGGCAATTGGGAGGGGGCCAGAGAAAGTGGTCACAGCCACTGGTAGCTCTGTGGGAAAGCACACTGTTTCGGTGTCTAATGGCAGAGAAAGCAAAGCTCCAGGTGGAGGCCCTTGGTGCTCCTTGGCGCAGTGTTGAATGTGTGCCTGAGTTCACCCCCCCCACACACACACACAGCTTTTCACAAGAGCTGTACTGCACACAAAGGAGATGGACACACTTCCCCACCAGGACGACAAGCAGAAGGGGACAAGATAGTGGAGCTGGGCATGGCAACACAGATGCACAGGCAGGCAGATCTCTGCTTTCAAGGCCAGGCTGGTCTGCACAGTGAGTTCCAGGACAGCCAGGGCTACACAGAGAAACCCCAGGGGGAGGGAGGAGCAGGAGGATTGCTTAGGGCCCTTGGGTGTGCAGGATACACAGGACTAGGGGCAGAGGCCATTCTTTCCTCCTTCCACCATCTACATCGAGTGTTGCCACAGCCCCACAGAGGACCTAAGAGGAGGTCATCCAGAAACAACACTTTATTGAACTCTGCACCCCAAAGGAATCTAGTCCAGTAGATTCTGTGCCTCAAGGCTTCACAGACAGGGGTGTGTCCAGCACTCCCCCCACTGATGGCCACAGGACCAGCCTGCAGAGAGGAAGGCAGGCAGGGGTCAAGAGAGAGGGGCCAGCCAGGCCTCAGGGGCTTTTAGCCAGTAATGTCCCTGAGGTGAATTCATTTGCCTTACAAAAACCCAGAAAACCTGTATGAAATGTCAGCACTATCCTGAGTTAAATATAAAAAAAGGGGGGGGGTAGTCAGAAAACACCACAGTTAGGGTGCCGGCACCTCTAGGGGGTAGTTGAGGGGCAGGGGCCAGCCCTGCCCCCACTGGACCTCACTGAAGCTGCAAATGCCAGGCCTCACCCAGCAGCAAGAGGACCAGCAGCACCATGGGAAACAGCTGTCCGTGGTCCTGGTCGGGTGACACCTGTGGGGCCAAGAAGAGGGGGAGAGTGAGGCCCAGGGACTGCCCAGTGTGAGGAGTCGACTCCTGGGGACAAGCACCTGTGCACAAGTGGGGGACATGGGCATTCAGCCAGTGGGGGGAGCAGGGGAGGCCACCGTGAGACCACGGCTGAAAGGGTCCTCTCTGCCAGAAGGAGGCCCTGCAGGAGGGGCCAGAAGGCACTGCTGAGTGTGAACTTGACCTTCCTGAGTTCACTAGTCAGTCAAGCACACACTAAGGCTGCTGGGATGGGGAAGGTGCAGAAAGAGGTGGGGAAGAAGCTATAGAGGGGTAGAGACCGTGGCGAAACAGCATGGCTAAGGAGCTGCTGGCTGCCCTATGGGAAGGATAACACGAAGACAAGGGGCCCTAAGGCTCTTACCTGGGCTCCAGGAGTCAGGACCCTCCAGGCCCAGATGTTTTCCCTAAGGTTGGTGAGGCCACGAGTCAAGCTTCGGAAAATACCCCTGACACCCATTTGGCTGTAGGTGACAGTGAGTCTGTAAGACATAAAATGAGCAAGGTAGTTACTGTAGCAGCAGGCACTGGAAGCCTACACATGTGCCCATCACAGCATGGCCCACAGAGTCTCTGTGCCTCTCTGGCACGTTGCCCTCTCCACTTGTTCCAGGCTGCCTTCTAGATCTCTGCCCAGAGCCAGCCACAGGAACATCCCTGACTCCGAAGGCCCCTGAGCAAGTCCTATACCTGTGCCCCTGGAAGACCAACCGAGGGCCTGCCTCTGGGGCCAAGCCCACACTGCCTTGTGAGTTGGGATTTCTCAGGACTGCCCAGCTCGATGGGGGCAATAGAAAGGCCCTGGGTGGTGCCTGACCTATTGCTAAAGCCCAAGGGAGGGTTGGGGGACCCAAGTGGAGGCTCGGAAGCAAGGGGTTTCAAGCTTGCCTGGGAGCTCCCACACCCTTCCTAGGTTTGCAGGGCTCCCTCGGGGCCCAGGCCTGTGCTGGTTCTGGCTCCAGCGGGGCAGCTGGTTACCTGTGCATGGCAATCCCTGGCAGCTGGGCCAGACGGGGGCTCCGCAGACATAGGTCCATCTCATCACCGATGCAGGCCAGCCTCAGGGCCACCCGGTTTCTGCAGGAAGGCACAGGGCACTTTGGTGTGTCTCTGCTGGGGAGGCCAGACCACCCACCCAGCCCAGTTCCTATGGGACTCGAGGCCCAGAGAGAGAAGCACAGTGGGATACTGGGGGCCAGCAGCAAGCCTTCCCGGTGTCCCTCTCATCACTTTGGAATACAGCCATTTCAGATATGCCCCTGCAGGGCAGGCCACAGGCTGCTGAGACGTTAGGCAGAGAGGCCAATGGGGACCTGTCCCAGCCTATGCCTTGTGAAGTCAGACATGTTAGTACGAGCAGTGTCTGGAAGTCAAGGGCAGCTCACTCCAGGGAAACTTCAGCACCCAAACTTTCCCCTAGAGAATCTTGCAAGGGGTCTACCCAGTGGGCTTTGGAAGGGGGGGCAGGTGGGGATGCTCTGAGGCCCCCTCAGCTGACTTCCTACAGGCTCTCAGTCTATCCTCCCGCTCCAAGACCTGCCCCTGGTTCCCAGTCCTGAAACACTTGTGTCTGCACCTTCTCCAGGTGGGAGACGAGCTAACCAGGACCTTGCCTAGCCACACTTGTGAAACCAAATTCCCAAATGAGCCCAGCGTGGTGGTGCATGCCTTCCACTGAAAGAAAAATCTCAGGGGCTGGAGAGAGGGCTCAGCAGTTGAAAGCGCTTGTTGCTCTTGCAGAAGTCATGACGGTTTGCGACCATCTGCAGCTCCAGTTCCAGAGGATCCAACACCCTCTTCTGAGCTCTGCAGGTACCAGGTATGTGCGCAGTGCACACACATACGTGCAGGCACACAAAACAAATCTTCTTTTAAAAAGGACAAATTCTCCAGTGAAACAGGAGATACGCCCATGTGCGGCGAATGCACGCACACACACACTGAAACCAGCCTGGCTAAGCCCTTTCTGGGGTTTGCCCACACATTCCACTCCCGTGACTCAGGAGTTCACCGGAAAGTCCCTGTACAGGGGATCTCAGGGCCACCTGCACCACCCACCCAGTATCCCGGGTCTATTCCTGATGGTGACAGGATCCTTGAAGGTTGTCTGGCAACCGGGTTGAGAAGTTTTGGTCCCACCTATACCCTGGGAGACCCCCAGGAAAACACTGTCCCAGGCTTCCCTTTACTCAGGAATGGAGCAGAAAGTGAGAAGACAGACATCCAAATAGCCACATCCTAATCCCATGCCGGAGTGGCAGACACCCTGCGGGCTGCATGTGGAGAGCCTGGGCTGACCTGCCTGTGTGCAGATCCTTCTGCTAGGAAGTGAGCAAGCCTGAGAGGGAGGGAGGGAGGGACCTTGCCTTCCCCGTCTGGACAGAGCGACAACAACACACATGGCTCCTTGCTAGTGAAACCAGACGGTCCAGGTTCGGGCCGCAGTGCGCTGGTTCTGACACCCAGGAAAGATACAGGCCCTGTGGGGTTGGGGAGCACCTCCAGGAAACTGTTCTCTCCCACCCTCCTTCCTCACCCTTGTCCCACGCCTCTCTATAGAGGGTGCTGTTCCAACCTATGTCCGGAGGAGGGCGCTAGCTAGTCAGCAGGGGCCCTACCTGCCCTCCAGGCACTCCTCGAGGTCCAAGTCTCTCATAGGACTAACGTTTTCTCCACCTCCGGTCTCCTTCACGCTGGGAGCCCCAGAGGCCACGGGGCCTTGCTCATGTGGGAGAGTCTTGAGGTCTGTGGCCGTGAGTCCCACCTCTGACATGTCTTCTGCGGGATAAAATAGGCCCAGTGTGGCTGGGTTCCCAGCGCTATGCAATGGTGGCTGCTGGGGATCAGAACAAGAGACCAAAGTAGGCGCTTGGTATGTGGGGAACATGAGGACTGCAAGGCCTTGGAGTATGAGTGTTCCTGACCCTCCTCTGCACCTCGGATGAGTCTGTCACAGAGCCTGCTAATACCATTTGCCCAGCCACAGCTCTGAGACACAGTACCCAGTCACCAGACCTTGAGCCTCAAACCAAGTTTCTCCAAGTGCTGGGAGAAGCTTAGAGGATGAAGTGCTCATCTTTACCATCCAAGCAGGAGGACCTAACTGAAGATCTCCAGAACGCAAGGCTGGGCACAGTGCCACATGCCAGGAACCTCGGCACAGGGGAGGTGGAAACAGGGTCCCCGGGGCTTACAGCCAGCCCAGCTTCATCAGGGAGCTGTCGGCCCCAGATCCCATCTCAGAAACCCAAGTCAGGGCTGGTGGCACCACTCAGCCATTTAGAGTGTAGACTGCTCTCGCAGAGGGCCAGAGTTCAATTCCCACCTGTATACATTGGCAGCTTACAACTGCTTATAAACTCCAGTTCCAGGGGATCGGAAGCCCTCTTTTGCCATCCGAGGGTACCCACACTCTCATGCACATATTCACACACAATTACAAGTAAATCTTGGAGGGAACCCCAAGATATTCCTCGGGAGACGGCACCCGATGTTGACTTCATGTACACACTTGCACACACATAACATGCATCACAATAAAGTTCCCATGTCTCCAGGTCTTCATGACTGAAGGCTCCTGTGAGAGAAAAACGTGACTGTCACTTTCCTCTCTCTGACCCCTGAAACGGGGGGAAATGTCGGACTCCGCTGCCCCACACTGAAGAATAACCTTCTTGCCTCTGTGGCCACTTTTTCTGAGCTGCTGAGCCATCCTTCAACTCTCCCGCCCCAGCTCCTCCAGAGTCCTGCTCCACACAGGCTGTGTGCCTCAGAAAGTCACCCAGGCCTGGGTCTGTGAAGTGAGAAAATGCTCAGGGTGAGACTGGCAGAGAGAGGTGACTAAATGTGAACCAGTCCATGAGACAATGAACTCCTCCTGTATTTCTGTCCACTGAAATGACAGTGTGCCTTCCCTAAGAACCGATCGGGGTCCATTCAGCGGATTAAGTCCACTGGCCAGTCAGCAGGGATTTCTAATCCTTGCTCCACCAGATCACATGGTCTGGTGATCGCTTTTGAATGGGCAATTAGCAGCAACTTGATGCATGACTAAAATACAAGCCTGTAATTAGCCATATTACCATCTTGCAATAAAGTGACAATTGAAGTAGAACAAAGGAAGGAAGGAAGGAAGGGAGGGAGGGAAAGAAAGAAAGAAAAAGAGAAAGAGAGAGGAAGGAAGGAAGGAAGGAAGGAAGGGAAAGAGAGAGAAAGAAAGAAAGAAAGAAAGAAAGAAAGAAAGAAAGAAAGAAAGAAAAGAAAGAAAGAAAAAAAGAAAAAAAGACCCCAGGTGACTCCCCTCCTGACTGTGGTCAAGGCAAGGATGAGGGCCAGAGCTACAGCAGCCAGCCAAGGGCAGTAGACAGCCTAGCCAGAGCAACTGCAAGACAGTAAGCCACTCCTGGCCTTCCCAGGGGGTTCAGACTCCCATTCGGAGTTTCCAATTCCTGTGGTCAGAGGCTTCCTGAACTCCCACAGTGGTGACGCCCACATCAGTAATGGCTCCACCTCCACTGAGGCAGGCTGCGCCTGACTCACCGTAGTTCACCCCACATGGCACCTGGCTGCCTTCCATCCATGGCATCAAGGCAGTGCTGGTGTGGACCTGGACTCTTAACAGCCCTACCCAAGAATCCAAAATTCAAAACTCTGAGTCCCAATACCATACCATGTGTCTGACGGCTCAGAGTCTGGGAACTTTAAACCATGCACAGAATTACTTAATATTCCATATAAATTACCTTCAGCCCATATGTGACAGTAACTGAATTCCATGAGTAAGCTCCAACCTCATCCCCATGATATATCGTGTGTGTGTGTGTGTGTGTGTGTGTGTGTGTGTGTGTGTGCGTGTGTGTGTGTGTGTGTGTATTAGGGGAGGTATACAGTATGCATGAAAGGGCTAAAAGTTGGCCAGGCATGGTGGCATATGCCTTTAATCCCAGCACTTGGGAGGTAGAGGCAGGTGGATCTCTGTGAGTTCGAGGCTAGCCTGGTCTACAAAGCTAGTCCAGGACAGCCAGGGCTGCACAGAGAAACCCTGTCTTTAAATAAATAAATAAATAGATAAATAAATAAATAAATAAATAAATAAATAAATAAATAAATAAATAAAATTTTAAGAGGAAAGAAAGAAAAAGGAAAGGCAAGAGGTCAACACTGGTGTCTTCCTTGCTTGTCTCCAACTTTTTCTGAGACAGGGTCCTTCACCTAGACCTGGAGTCACTTCTGGCTCGACAGTAAGCCCCAGGGACCCTGTCTCTGCTGCCCCTGCCCCAGGATTGTGGACTTGGCTTTCTGTTTCGGTGCTGAGAAGAGCAACAGCCATCTTCCAGTCCTGGCTCTCAGTATATCTCAGTATATCCATAAGCAGCTGGTATCCAACACACTCCTGGCGCCTAACCTGAGACTGTCCGAAGGTCCTGCCGGCTTGAGCCTGCCTCTCTACCCTGCACCGGTGGTGCCCAGAGTGCTTGTCAAGACTCCTTATTTCACCTCCCAACAACCCAGCGAGGGGCAAAGCGCTTGCCTGGCATGCACAAGACCCTGGTTCCATCCCCCGCAACACACAGAGACTCACCAGAACCACCCTGAAAGCGATTTTCTATTCAAAGAGAACTCTGGCTCTTGGAAAAGTTCACGCTGAGCCAAGGCTGGACAGTGACCCCAGACTCCCCACCCCTTCTCCAAGGCAGACCAGTGTCCATCGGAAAGTGGACGGACTGTGGGCGCAGTGCACAAAGCCATCCTCCTGAGGACCCAACACCCCAGCATGCGTTCACTGGTTACCCCCTGTACTAAAGAAAGAGATGGCTGGAGGCCGAGGCACTCTCGGGACTAGAACATAAGCTGGGGCCCTCCCGGTGTCCCAGGGCTGACTTGAGATGGGTGGGTGCTAGCAGTGTACCTCAAATGTGTGGGGCCAAGGAGCTGAGTGCACCCAAGGTGACATCATCAGCCACAACAGCAGGCACGAGGGCGTGGTGAGCTCCGGGCTTTGAGAAGCCATATAAGGACAGCATTGTTCTTCCTTCCAGGAGTGAAAAAAAAAAAAAAAGAACACACGTCCAGAGTTTCTGTCTCAACAAAGAGGTAGCTGTCTCCCTGCCTAAGAGGAAGGTAGAGGAGAGGTTGACATCTGTCCCCCACGAAAGCTCAAATCTCACAGGCGCCTCGCTTCAGGGATGAGAAGCGTAAACACGGCCACAGCAGCTGCACCTGCCAGGCAACACCTTTGCCGGGAGGCAGAAGCTGTGGGCTGCAGCAGGAGGCAAGGGGGCTCCGCCTGCTTGGAGCACCTGCACACAGAGCAAGGCCCCCACACCACTAGCCCATGACCCGAGAAACGGGCCAGGCAAGGTGGCTTCACCCATTGCTCACACAGGTACCTCAAAACTCTTGACACATTTGTCCCAGAGAGTGCCTGGCAGCAGTTAAAAAACAAAAAAGGGAGATCAAGGATCTTTGCAAAATAGGGATGCCAACAGGTCTTTAGCTAGCCTGGCTTGAAGCCACTTGGAGCCCCAATGTGCCAAAATAGATAAGCCCTCTCCCGTTCCTATGAAATGAACTTGCATTTCACAGGAGCCATTCCCAATGCCCCCGGTGCCACCATCTCACAGGGGCAGCCTGACCTCATGGACCATGCCACTGTACTGCCAGTTTACTGAAAGGCAGTGAGGAGAATGCAGCGCTCACCCAGAAGGCGGAAGCCACATATGTCCAACAGCCGGGTCTCTGGGTCAAGGTCAAGGCTCAGCATTAGGACACCCAGGGGGTCCCTGCCGACCTGTTAAGACTCCAACAGGTCGGCAGGTATGTGTCTATGCAGTGTCTCAGGCACTTACTCACAGTACTGTGGAATGTACTATGACTTAGCAGACATAGGCCAAGATGCCAAAGTCAACTAGTTCCACACACCAAGCAAAAATGATTTCCCTGATCAGCCACAGTGGCACTCACTTTTAACCTCAGCACGAGGCAGAGGCAGGGGGATCTCTGTGAGTTTGGTCCAGCCAGCCTGGTCTATACAGAGAGTTCCAGGACAGCCAGGGCTACACAGCGAGACCCTGTCTCAAAACCAAAAAACCAAGAACAACAACAACAACAAAATCGGTTGAACATGAGTAAACTTTTTCAGTAACAACCACAAAAAAGAAAGAAAGAAAAGAAAAAGAGAGCTTCAGGTCACATTAACTTTGTAAAATTTTTATATAGAAACTCTAAAACTCCTCCAATAAAGGATGTGAAAGAAACAGGGTTATGGCACAGGCTGTGATCTCACACACACACACTCAGAGGTGGAGGCAGGAGGAGCGAGAGTTTAGGGCCAGCCTGATCTACATAGCAAGCTAGACGACATCCTGAGCTACCTGACGCTCCATCTCAAAACACCAAAAATAAAATGATAAATAAATAACATCAAAGATGCAGGTAAAGAGAAACACAGCCGCGCTTACCACCAAGATGCCCTGGCATGGTACAGAGTAGAAGCAGCATGAGCAATGTGTGCTTATGCATGTGTCTATGTGTGTATGCCTGTGGGTGGGTGTGCTCGCTTATGAGGGGGGGCTTTAAAATTGTATCCAGAACCTAAGTGCCCCAGGCTCAGGCCAGGGATGACTCAGCATGCAAAGCCATTTCCCTGGGAAAGCAGACCAGGCCCTAATTTGCATCTGTCCCCTCCTTCTCTCCCTCCTCTCCCCAAACCACAGCCTCAACCCTTCCACCCTTCGCCTTCAGCTCCAGGCTGGGCTGTTCCCACCTCAGAGCAGAGCCATGTTTCCAGCCCATCCCAGGCAGGGGCCACAGCGGCATGGAACATCAGCCCTGAAGCTGGACACCTGGCCTTCACCTTGATCCTTTGCCCCGATGGCCCAAATTCCCAGAATCCCCAGCATCAGATGGCTGCTGATGCCAAGACCTGCTGAAGGGTCAGGCACCCATCTCTGTCTTCCTTAGAACCCTCTTGGACTCCAAGGCTCTTCCATCTTCATGGGACAGACTCCACTCTCACCTCGTTACCATCTTAACCTCAACAACTCACCTTCCCCTGCTCCCATCCCTGGGACTCAGTTTCCCTACCTGCTATTGAGTGGAGATAATGAAGCCACATTGCTGCAGCTCCTTATCCAGGCAAGATGGCTTGCCCTTGTTAAAACCTGATGGGAGTGTAAGCAAGGCCCAGCTCAGCTTACGGATTTGCTCCCTCTGTGTCCAGTGTAACTCTTCCACCACCAGCTCATGTAAGCCTTTCCCGTGAGCCTCGGTGTCCACCTAAGGTCAAGAATCAGAACAGAGGGGCTAGAGAGATGGCTCAGAGGTTGAGAGCGCTGTCTG